ATAACAGAGCCTCACAATCGACTCTGAATGCAACAGTATAATAGAGGAAGGATCAGAGGTGATTTCTTTCACCCATAAACTCTTAACAGGTTCACCAGAAAACATAGATGATTGGCAAGGGATTAGTGTGGGGGAGAAAGCTTGCTGTATAATTAATTCAGTCAAATATGAAGGCCAGTATAAACTTGAGCCAAGCTAACCCAGCAGCACACTGGGGTCATGGGATTTACCTGTCTTCCAACCCTGGGAGGAAGTTAAAATATTAGTTCCGTATGCCAGTCAGAAAACCTAGAGGGAGGGTTAGGGAATGTGGCTCAGTGGTAGAACACTTGCCCAGTATGCACCAGACAGACCCTAGGTTCAGTTCCCACCACAAGAAAATAAGGAGCGGGAGGACAGCCTGAGGAATATGCACCTAGCATGGATCTTACTTCAGAGTGCTGCTTGTGTGCCCTGACTTGCCTGTCCTCAGCCTCTCAGAAAGGCCCCTCATTAGCCACAGCAGGGCTGCAGCTATACTGGCTGTGATCCCTGTGGTTGCCTTGTGAAAGTTGTAAAAGTCTCAAGCCAGAGGCAAGTTTGACTTTTTACATTTGGGCAATCTGGTAATAATTGCTCTGAAATTTAGTTTTCTGGCACAAATGTTAGAAAAGTATAATGTAAAATGTTATAAAGGTGGAGATCCTGAGTTAATCATGGAAGAGACATGTTTTTCATTCACTAAGCGGTAAATGATAACGTGTGTTGCTGTTTTAAGTCTCATCAGTAGCAGAAACTAAAGAACATTGTCCTTGCTTCAAAATACTCTATCCTTAAAAATTTCTATAGCACTCTTTGGTGTAAAAATGATCTGCAATCACCTACAGAAGAGGTAAATCAGTAAGATGTCTTACAGTTCACCTGTTTACGTATCACCAATCCAGAGATAGATTACAGTGACATCTCCAGCCGGAAGTAATTCCATCTTATTAAGCAACATACAGTAGTCACTAAAAGAGGAATGAGCTGAGTGATCACAGCTCGTTATGGCTATGGAATAGAAGGTTGGACAGGACTGATTTGACTTTCCTGTATTTTGAAGCATTCAGTAAGTAGGGTTAGCTTAGAAGGAGCCCAGGAAAGTGAGAGTGTTGCTGCCCAAATGGGAATGGGGATGGTTTCCTGATGTAGGAAACAGATGAACCACACACGCAAAGATTGTGCTAGGTACCTTCAATTCAAAAGAAATGAGTACCTTAGTTGAAAATATAATGCAGCCTTTCAAATACCATTTGGAAGAGCACATTTGAAATCTGTGCTAATGCACTAAAGTTAAGACTGACTGAGCCAGGCATGGTAGCACACAGTTACAATCCCTGCATTCAGGAGGCTGAAGAAGGGGGATCACCTTGAGTTCAAGACCATCCTAGGCTCCATAATGAGTTCAAGCCTGAATTACATAGTGTGACCCTGTCTCAAAAAATAAATAAATAAATAAATAAAGCTGGGCGTGGTGGCACACACCTGTAATCCCAGCACTTGGGAGGCTGAAGCAGGAGGATCGTTGTGAGTTTGAGGCCAGCCTGAACTGCACAGTGAGACCCTGTCTCAAAAAAAGAGATCAAAAAAAAAAAAAAAAGACAGATGGTTTTCTGTTCCTGTTCCTAATGGCTTATTCGCTTATTCCATGTGCTGAACTTGTAACCCAGCTTCATGGTGTGTGCATGTTTGTGTGTGTGTGTGTACTGTTGTACCCAGCCCCAGGAGCTCTTCTGTGAGAAGCCACTGGGTCATGACCAGCTTTTCAACAGGACCCATACCACTTAGTAGTGTCCCCTCAAATATACGCTGCAGTAGTGTCCCCTGTTGTGGAACAGAAACATCAAAGCCGGCCCTGATGGTGCATGCTTATAATTCCAGCCCTGTAGGAAAGTAGAGTAGGAAGATCAGAAGTTCAAAGCCAGCTGGGAAAGTTTAGTAAGTTAGAGTCTGTCTCAAAAAAAAAAAAAAAAAAAACCTGGGGTATAGGTCAGTGCCAAGGCCCTGGGTTCAATCCCCAGTACCAAAAAAAAAAGAAAGAAAGAAAGAATATCAGAAGCCCACAAGACCAATCATTGGAAAAAGTATGGTATGCTTTTCTGACTCACCATTGTGTGTAGAACACATTCATCTGGGTGCAACCTCACAGCATAAACCCCCATCCTGGTTTCAGACAAGAAGCTTTTGTGTGCCAATTTGGTGTTGCAAGGAAATCAGGTCTTATAATACAGTACTTAAGTCCCTTAAAAATGCCAACCAAACACCAAGCCCTCAGTAAATTCCTAATCAGTTTAATTTTTAGTCTTTTATCATTCTTTCACTTAATTATAATTGCCTACTTTTAAACTAAACCTTTCTTCCCAAAAAGGACTGCCTGTGACACTTACGAAACTGATTATTGCTTTCACAAAAGACAGAATGCCATCTGTTGGCTTAATTTATGGCATTTATGAAGGGATGGCTCCTTGAGTTAGGGAAAGTCTGCTTCCTTGGCCTCTGCCCTTGTTCACTCCTAGTTTCCTAGTGTGCACCACTTAGGCACTTTGTTTTTTCTACTCCGATAGGAAGATGAAAAATGGTTAAATGGCACAGTGAAATCCCAGCCACTCAAGAGGCTGAGGCAGAAGGATCATAAATTCAAAGCCAGGCTGGACATCTTAGCAAGAGCCTGTCTCAAAATAAAATACAAACAGCTGGGAAGGTAACCCAGCACTAGAGTGCTTGCCTAGCATGTGCAAGGTTCAATGTCTAGCACCAAAAAAAGGAAACAAAAGAAAATTTATAAACAGTAAAAACTACTTATCCTGGTGGTGCTCTTTTCTTATTTTATATTCTCAACTCTGTATTTGTTCAGTGAAGAAACTAAAAGGATGTAATGATTCCAGAACTCTACTGTACAGAAATATATTCCAAAAAATGGTAGTACTTAAAGGATTATTTTATTTTACTTTATTTTAATGATGCTGAGTATTGAAGCCTGGACCTTGTGCTCATGATCTACCACAGAGCTAGACTCTAGCCCTAGAAAGATCATTTTAAAATTTTTAATGTGAATGTTTTCATTGAAAGTAGAAATTTGTTAGTGAGTTCAACCCCAGCCTGAACTTCATAGCAAAACAGTCGTAAAAAGAAAAAAAAGAAATTTGTTATGCCTCATCAGCTAGCTTTAAAATAACAAAAAGGAGACCAGATTCGCTCTAGCAGTAAATGCTAAACAGTGGAAATTGTTTTAATGTTATGTATTTAAAATTATTTCTCATTGAAAATACTTGTTTTCCATCAAAATTATATGATGTACAGTATCCCAGTTTGTAGAGTTTCTTCTAGAGCCTGAGAGCGTCAGCACACACATCATGAGGGTTACCTAGAGTTTGTATATATATTAATAGTCTAGCTACACATCAACTTAAAGTGGGAACTTTGTTTTCTTATTTTTTGAGTAAGCAGATTTTCTCCCATTTGTAAGATTTTGAAGCATTAAGCTTGCAAATCATTTGCCTTCTGCATAAGGTACTCTATAGAATGTTTTCTGCTTTTATCCAAATTTAAAATTTTGTGTAAAATGCAATTAACTATAATTATATGCATTCTTAGTTTTAACTTAGTTAAATAATCTATAAAAATTTATAATGTTGTCTTTCAAAGAGATGGAAGTATAGGAATGACAAATTCAAGGTGAATTCACTGTTATCTACAGTGAATAGATATTTTCATAGATGATTGGTCTTTAGTAATGCTCTCCTTTAGCTTTCCAAAGCATCCATAATTTTTATCAGCTATGTTCATTTCCCAGATTTAATTTTGTCCCTTCAGTTTGTAAAGCTGCTTTCCCCAATAACATTTTTTTCCATGTAATTATAGGTAATATAGTTAGCTATTGCTGGCAGTAACTGATAGGGATACCCCCCCTATTAATGGTAGCAGTTTGTATAATCTGTTTCTTCAGCATAGGCTCATCTTGTAATTTAAAATGATTCATAGGTTGCATGTCCTTTTGTCATTAATCAATATTACTGCATTTTATTAGGATAAAATACAGCAAGGGAACTGATTTCATGCTACCTTTAGTAAGATAATTAATAGGTTTTGGATGCATCTCAAGACCATACTCATAAGTAAAATAAACCAGACACATATGTAAACATCATATTGTCTCCCTAGTGTAAGAAGCTGAAAGAATAAATAAGGTTCAAAATGTACAACAGACATTGCAAAATGGGAAGAAACTTCAAAAGAAAGAGAAGCCAGGCGTGGTCGCACATGCCTGTAATCCCAGCACTTTGGGAGGCTGAGGCAGGAGGATCATTGCGAGTTGGAGACCAGCCTGGGCTGTAAAGTGAGTTCAAGGCCAGCCTGAACTGCTTAGTGAGACCCTGTCTCAAAAAGACAAAAAAAAAAAGAAAGAAAGAAAGAAAGAAAAAAAGAAAGAGAAACTGGGATAGGGGGATGGAGAAAAGAAGGAAGGGAAAAGGAAAAAGAAAAAAAATTATATATATGTGTGTGTGTGTGTGTATATATATATATATATATATATATATATATACACACACATGTATATAAAGATAGTTATGCTACTAAGTTCACTGAAAAGAAAGGTTTATGCTAATATTGTCTGGACAGTTTTTTTTCTCTTGAAAAAGAAAATAAATAGATTTCATGTATCCTTGCTGAGGCCAAATAATTTAAAACATACATAACTATTCACATATTATACCATAAGTTTTCTCTTGCATGGAGAATCCAGTCCTTTCTGATCTGTTTACTACTTTAAATACTCACATCTCCTCTCTGAAATAATATATTTCTATGAAAATTACAACTGAGAGGAGCTATCAGGAGCTTCCAGTGTGACTGACAGCAGTAGGTGAATTCACTGAAGAGATGCTGAGTGACTAGCATTTGAGCTGGTTTTGAGAGCTGAATCACATTTACTTTTTCCATTTCACTTTTATTATTTGCTCTCTCCTTTGGCTCCTTTGCAGTTTCATCAGGCTGGGGAGAAATGCCTAATGTCCACTCAAAGGCTGAAAATGCATGGGGAGAGCCATCTTCTCCATCCACTCTAGTCGACAACGGCACAGCAGCATGGGGGAAGCCACCCAACAGTGGTAGCGGATGGGGAGATCACCCTGCTGAGCCAGCGGTGACCTTTGGAAGAGCTGGCGCACCCACTGCCACCCCAGCCCTGTGTAAACCAGGTGAGCTAAGCATCCTGCCTGCCCTGGTCTGGCGACTTGGAAATGGTTCAGAATATTTCAAGGGGGACCTTTCATTGATTTTTTTTTAGAACACACTTTTATTTTAATCCATCTCACTTTTATTTTATTTTATTTGGTACTGAGGATTGTCATTTTGCTCTGCTTTGTTTTGTTTTGTTGGTTTTTTGAGACAGAGCCTTACCACATAGTTCAGGCTAGCCTTGAACTCACTAGCCCAGGCTGGCCTCCAGTTGTTCCTACCTCAACCTCCTAAGTGCCGGGTACTGGGGATTGAACCCAGGGCCTCATGCATCCTAAATGTGTACTTTACCACAGAGCTGTATCAAGCTGTCATTGAATTTTAAAAGGTAAATTTTTTATTACTATATGGACACTTCAAGACTAACTTTAAGCCAAGACTGTAACAAAACTGTTCATGTCTGATATATAAACATAAAAAAGGTTTTAACAGGAGTCTGTGCCCTCCTTTTAAAAATTAATACAAGAAGCCAGGCGTGGTGGTGCCTGTCTGTAATCCCAGCTCTTGGGAGGCTGAGGCAGGAGGATTATTGCGAGTTCGAGATCAGCCTGGGCTACAAAGTGAGCTCAAGGCCAGCCTAAACTGCATAGCGAGGGGCTGGGAATTTAGTTCAGTGGCACAGCACCTGCCTGGCAAGCGCAAGGTCATGAGTTTGATTCCCGGTACCAGAAAAAAAAACCAAAAATAAAATAAAATAAACTGCATAGTGAGATCCTGTCTCAAAAAGACAAAAAAAAAAAAAAATTCAAGATTCAAAGCACTTGAGCATGCATGTTTGGTACTACTACAGGCTCAGCATTCCCAGGCTGAAAATCCCAAATCCAAAATGCTCTAAAATCTGAAAGTTGAGTACCACACGACACTGCATGTTGAAAATTCTACACCTATCCTCATGTGTCAGGTCACAGTCAAAATGCAAGAACACTAACAATAATACTATGTTGCCAAGTATAGTGGCACATGCCTGATATCCCAACACTGTGGGAGGCTGAGGCAGGAGGATCAAACATTTAAGCAAGATTCTGTCTCAGAATTTAAAAGATAAAATGGGCTGGAGATGTAGCTCAGTGCAAAAACCCTAGGTACAAGTTCTAATACTGAAAAAAAAAAGCATTATGTAAATTTATCTTCGGGGCGTTGGAGGTATAGCTCAACGGCCCAGCACCTGCCTGGCAAACAAAAGGTACTGAGTTTGATTCCTGGTACCCAAAAAAATAATCTTCAGAGCCAGGCATGATAGTACACACCTATAATTCTAGCTACTGGGGGCTAAGGAGGATCAGAAGTTTAGAGCCTGTCTGGATAACTTAAGTGAGACCACCTGTCAAAATAAAAATTAAATAGGGCAAAGCATATAGCTCTGTGGTAGAATACTTGCCTAGCACAAACAATGCCCTGGGTTCCCTCCCCAGTACCACCAAATGCAAAACAAAGTACAGTTTCCTTGTAGGTTTTATGTATAAGATGTCTATGAAACAAATGTTTAAACATCCCTAACATGTTTCATTATGTTTCAGTTTTGGAAATAATATAAAATTTTTTTTAAAAATCTGAAATGAGAAACACTTCTGGTTCCAGGTATGTTTTGTTTTGTTTTATCTTGTATTGTTCTGTTTTTTGAGACAGGGTCTCACTGTGTAACATAGGCTAGTCTTAAACTTACTGTGTTGTCCAGGCTGGCCTTGAACTTGAAATGATCCTCCTGCCTAAGCCTACCAAATGCAAGGATTCTAGGCATGAGCCACCACACCTGTGGTGTGCATGCATAAGCATGCAGCCTGCAATGGCGCTCACTCCTTTAGCAGTGTTTTGTATCTGCCTATTTAAATTTATCTCATCAAACAAGATGAATAAAGCCCATCATTTTTTTCCTCTTGAGAAATATTTGAAAACACATATCTATAGCAGTCTTGGTATTTCTTGCCTTGCTTTAATCTTACAAACAAAATTTAACTTCGGATACTTTATGTTTATGCTTAAAATAACTTGAGAAAAGATGATACAGTGTTTACCTACTATGTGTGAGACCCGGTTCAGTAGCCAGCACTGAAAAAAAAAATCTTGAAAAAGCAACTGTGCTTTTCCCTCCCATTTTCTGTAACTGTAGTGAGTATACCTATACATTCTTACATGATTTCAGGATTATATTTACTGCATGAAAATCTCATACTATGTGGATGTAATGTATACATGTGATATTAACATAAATGTAATATGTGTGATGTTCACATAAATATAACTGATTTAAGTCTGATTAAGATTAATCATTCACATGGCTGCCAAAGCAGCAGCATTTTCTTGGCTGTCACTAGATATCCTTGAGCTTAAAGTGAAACCGTTGATTGCATTATTTTGTTGAATGGTTGGTATGTTCCGTATACCTATCCCTTCTGCTGGAAATATTTATTCCATTTTTATTACTTTTTTTTTTTTTTTTTTTTTTTTTTTTTTTGCTTTTTGGGTTTTTTTGTTTGTTTTTTGGTACTGGGAATCAAACTCACAGCCTTGCGTTTGCCAGGCAGAGGGACTGTGCCACTGAGCTATATCTCCAGCTCTCATTGCTTTTTGTTGCAAAGTTAAAGGATAAGGGACCTTGTGGAACATTCCATTTTGAGGAAGTATATTCTGTTTTTATATTCTGTCTTTAAGGTCTGTGTATTTGCCTCCCTATCTTATAAATATCATTTTCATCATCTAACAAACCTCAGCTAACTACTATAACCTATCCTTTAACTTTTTCTGGTTTTTCCAAGAAGTAGAAATTTGAAGTAGCTTGGACACCTGAAATCACTTTGTATTTTGCGAAGGGAGAAAGAAGTAAAAATTCAGTAGCCAATTCGAATTTCCTCTGCCTAGGGCTCTGTCCAGCAGTTGTAGATGTGTCCTGGTAGCTTGTGAGAAATGCACATGGCTGGGCCTACCCTAGATGTGCTGCATATCACAGGGTCATCACCAACTCCCACAGGGGGCTAAATGTGAGAAGCACTGACCCACGTGACATAGTGCCCACAAGTTTAAACCAGGATGTGACAAAGAACTACAAAGAAGACAGTGACATTTCTGAAGAACCCACTTTTGAGAGATCTTTTCATTCCAGGCAGAGATTGGCACACAGGAATCATTTTTAGCCTGCCTAGGTTTTGCCGGTTATGGTGGTGCCCTCCTGTAATCCCAGCACTCGGGAAGCTGAGGCAGGAGATCACTGCAAGCTCGAGGCCAGCCTGGGCTACATAGTGAGTTCAAGCCCAGCCTAAACTGCATAGCAAGACCCTGTCTCAAAAAGAAAAAAAAGACTGCCTGGGTTTCAAATTGATCTACAGTTGGTTAAAGAAGTTTGGAATAACATATAGCAAACACGTGGAGTGTGAAGAAAAAATGTACACATATACATTGTGCATGTCTAGTAGGAGAAATTAAGTTCTTGTGTCTGGGGAAAGGAAAGAGTAAAGAGGTGAATTACGCCACACTTACATTTTCACATACACCCTAAATCATGTATGTAATAGTGAAGCATTCTGCACCTTAGAGGTAGTAAGCTGGCTAAGTTTCTGTTTGCTCTCTTTCTAGCTTCCAAATCTATGCAAGAAGGCTGGGGCAGTGGTGGGGACGAAATGAACCTGGGCACCGGCCAGTGGGAGGATGAGGAAGGGGACATGTGGAATAATGCTGCTTCCCAAGAAAGCGCCTCCTCCTGCAGCTCCTGGGGTAATGCCCCCAAGAAAGGACTTCAGAAGGTAGGCATGGCACTCCTGTGGGAGAAACTTCCAGAGCCAATGGCTTAAAGGTGGCATCTGCAGCACAGGGTGGAAAACTACACATGAGATTTCCAGGGTGCAGTTCAGACCTTTAGGTGTTCCTGTAAGAGATCCTTTCAGGGGTCAGCAAGGTCAAAAGTGTTTCTCTGGTGCTAAGATTTTGTCTTTTCCAGAAAGTTCATTCCCTGGGATAGGGTGTTAATTTAGCCAGTTTTCCATTGCTATAATAAACACCTCAGATAAATCAACTTACAAAGAGGAAAGGTTTATTTTGGCTCCCAGTTTTAGAGGTTTTAGTCCATGACTGATTGATCTTTACTCCTTTGGGAAACCATGTGGTAGAGCAAAACTGCTCATCCTATGACCAGGAAGTAAAAGAGAAAGCAAAGTCTGGGGTCCCATTATCACTGCTGAAGGCCCAACCCCATGACTCAAACACCAGATTATCCATTCTATCTCTTAACATGTTCACATTCATAATTTGTGTATCTCTCTGCCAGACACCTCCAATTTGAATTCAAGCATTCCTGCCAACTTGAACCACTGGTGGTATGTGCATAACTGTCCCATGGAGCAGCTATACCACTTCTCAGGAGGTCTTTGATTACAGTAATGCAAAGAAGGTGTTGATTTAGGAGACCAGATGTCATCACATTACAGTTCCTTAAGGAAAACATTAAAATGGTACAAAAATTATAATACAGCTAATTTATGGGATAGCAGCTATAAATGCATATTATATACACCAGCAGCGGGGTACTTGTAAGGCTTCCATGTTAAAATGTTTTGGTTTTTGTTTTTTGGTTTTTTTTTTTGGTCTTTCTGAGACCAGGTCTCACTATGCAGTTCAGGCTGGCCTTGAGCTCATTTTGTAGCCTAAGCTGGTCTCAAACTCACAACAATCCTCCTGCCTCAGCCTCCCAAGTGCTGGGATCACAGGCGTGCACTACCACACCCAGCTGAAAATTTTAATTGTTGATAAGGTTATTCATTAATATATATTTAATTGTTGATAAGCTATTCATAATATAATAACTATAAATTTCTTTTAATGAAATAAGTTTGTTGATTATTATAATCATTTTAATTGGTATGAATAGTATTAATGATTAATACATTAGGATTTAATTAAATATTAATATTTATATTCAAACAGTAATTATTCATATTTAAGCAACCAACTAGATTTAGTCCATTTATAGACTTTTTATTAACTTTATTAGTATACAGACAAATAAAAGTGATTAGATTCATTTGTACGACTGGTGATATAAGCCACCCAATGACATAGTCATGCCTGTAACACTGGTGGTTCAAGTAAGCAGGATGTGTTAAAGGAACATGACCTCCAAGCAGTGCCACTTTAGGGAACAGCCTTCAACACAAGGACCTTTGGGAACACTTAAGACCCAAACCATTGCAGATGGAGCTGCCGAGAGACATGATTACGCAGAGCGTGTGCAGAAACACACCTGAGAAACCAGTCGATGCTTAGTGCCAACCTTTAATAGAGATGTGCAAAAAGGCAAAACAATGTCATTCTTCTCAAAAAATGTTTTAGTAAATATATTTATTTTTCTTTTAAATATGTTATTTATGTTAACATGTAATGAATTGGTATTGCTGTTTTTTAACATTAATGTAATTTTTAAATTTATCAGTTTTAACTTCAAATGCAGTATCAATAGATACAACTCTTTTAGAAACAAAGTTTCTTTGGGATCCTTAATTTTAGAGTGTAATGGGGTCCTGAGACCAAGAAGTTTGAGAATTACTGTGGTGACCACTAAGTACTCTTGAAATAAACAGGCAGCCATCTGAAAGGAATTGAGATCTACAACCCACTGTGTCCCAGCATAGATTCTATCACAAATTCAAATATGAAAAATTAAAAAAAATTTAAAAAGAAAAACACAGAAGAAGTTGAGTGTGGTAGTACATGCCTGTAATCCCAGCACTCGAGAAGGTGAGGCAGGAGGATCACTTCAAGATGGAAGCCAGCCTGTACTACGCAGAAACACCCTCAAAATAAATAAATAAATTAAATAGTTATAAAAACAGTTTATAGTGAGAAGGACCATTCTCACTATGACTAAAATCTAAAAGTTATAAAAGAGTTTAGATTAAAACAGTAACCATAAAAACTATATGAGAAAAAATACCCTAATCAAAATCAAAGGACAAATAACAAACTGGAAAAAAAAATTGTAATTCATATCATAGAGAAAGGACTGATCTCTTACATGTAGAAAAGGCTAGAGACTGATTTTTTTTTTAAACATTAGCCAGTAACCCAATAAAAAAATGAACAAAGAAAATGAATAGTAGATGACTCATAGAAAGGAAATCATATAGCTCTTAGCAAATGAAATAGTCACCTTGATTATAAAAAGAGAACTCAAACTGGGCATATGCCAGTACTCTAGGAGGTTATGATACAGGAAGATTCCAATTTTGAATCCAGCCTAGGCAACTTAGTAACTTAGTGAAACCATCTCAAAATAAAAAACATCTGGGGTTGTAGCTCAGTGAGAAGGCCCTGGTTCAATCCCACTCCCACAGAAGAAAAAGGAAAAAGAGGAAAAAAATTTAAAACAATACCGAGAGATGCCGTTTTTCCTGTCTTATATCAGCAGAAATCCAAAAGTTTAATGAGCACACTCTGAGGGATAGAGGTGTGGCTCGTTGACCCTGGGTTCAATCCCTGACACCAAAAATAAAATAATAAACATTGTGCTGTCAAAGCTATGTGAAACCAGTACTCTTTCATTACTGGCAGGAGTGCAAATTAACATAATCCGAAAGGAGGGCTGTGTGGTGCTATCAAAATGACCAAGATGTCAGCACATTGATAGAGGTTTCCACTCACACTGTTACATCATTTTTATAGTAATAGAATGAAAATAAATATGCATTGGTGGGATAGCTGGGTAAATTATGCCAGGTGCATCACATAGGAGGCTAAATATTTTTTAAAGAAAATTCTATATTGATATGAAAAGATCAACAAAATAGCTGGCATGGTGACACACATCTATAATCCCAGCACTCAAAAGGCTGAGGCAGGAGGATTGCCACAAGTTCAGGGCCATCTTAAGATGTATAGTTAGTTAAAGGCCAGCCTGAACTACATAGCAAGACATTGTCTCAAAAAAAAAAAAAAAAAAAAATCAACAGAGTATATTGTTACATGAAGAGACAAGGAACAGAAATGTGTGGCATACCACTAATTTTAGGTAGATGTAACAGCTGCTGGAGACTGTTCTAAGTTCTCTGGGAGGAAGATTAGACTCTGCTAAGGGGGACTTCCTCTTAGAACAGGAACCAAGCATGTAAAGGGGCATGGAATGAAGAGTCTTTTCTTGCATTTTGTTCTTTTGAACCAAGTAAATATATTGCTGCTTGAAAAAGACATTAGAAAAGAATTCAATAAGTAGTAAGTAGAAACCAAAAACTGAAGTCAGACTTTCCATTCATAAGGAAAAAAGGTTACAGGCTCAAAAGGAAGTCCTTTACAGTTGGGTTGGCAGGTAATCTGATCACAGTGAGATAAGAAATACCAAATTAGTAAATTAAAATAATATGATTTTGGCTAATCTGGCTCTGGCAGCATACTGACAATTAAAATAACGTCCCCCCCCCAATAAGCTACTTCCTTGGGGAACAGAGAATCTGTTAGTTTTTATAGTTCTGCATGCTCCACTATCTAGTTACAGTGTGTATGTGTGTGTGCGCACGCATGTTTGTATCTTTAGAGCCTTGGTGTTGCATAGTTGGAAGGAAATTGGTCCAGCTTGCTTATCTGACTCACACGGCACCCTTTGCCCTTCCCCACTTTTCTCTTTTTCCTTTCCCTCCAACATTCTGCCTGCTCCTTTCCTCTCACCTGAGTGCTATAAGCAATGAATAATTAATGAAATTACTAGGTTTGATCTTCCTTTTCTCTGTTAACCTTTTTTCCTTGGAAGGAACCCTCTGCATTTGTTATTATTTAGAATAAAGCTTATAAAAGGGGAAAAAAACATAATTTTTAGTGGGCATCACATAGCACCAAGTTCAAGGGAGTATTCTTGTGACTATTTGATAGTAGTATATATTTGTGATGAACCAAATTAATCCTCTGAGAAAAAGAAATGATGGCCCTGCTTTTGTAAGTCTGTAAGTTACACATGTAAACCAACATGCACATGTACCTGCAATTTCCTGTGGTGTTAGCCCCAAGATACTGCCAGGAACACTGTGGAACCCAGCATGATTCAACACTAATGCAGAAGACTCTGTGACTTTTAAAGCACCATGAGTTTCAGCAGTTTCTCATTTCTAAAAGAAAGCATTAAAATGTAACTTGTGGTCTTTCTTCTGCCTGGGCTTCATTCTAGGGCATGAAGACATCTGGCAAGCAGGATGAGGCTTGGATCATGAGCCGGCTGATCAAACAACTCACAGACATGGGCTTCCCGGTGACTGGTGTCTTATTACTACTACCACAGTTTCCTAAGCAAACAGCCTTAATTGTTTCTTATCAGTGTTTGGTGTTTATGACAAGGCAGAAAGGCTTTTTGAGGAATGAAGTAACTGAACTAATTAATTAGCTTTTAAGTGCCCTTTGGCCTAGGAAGTTAGGCTGAGAGGTTACTGCTTTGAACCCCAACAAAGGTTTGTTCATTTTCTATCAAGAAAGGCATGAGAAGGGCAGGAATATAACTCAGTGGCACAGTGCCTGCGTGGCAAGCAGAAGGTCGTGAGTTCAGTTCCCAGTACAAAAAAAGGCATGAGAGCCTTCAGCTAGAATAAAACTGTGTAAGATTTGTAATTTCCATGGGTTTATTTCATTAATTTATGTAGTAGATTGATAAAAGATCACACACACACAAAATTTGGTATAAGAGGGGCCGGGGATGTAGCTCAGTGGTACAAGCACCTGCCTGGCAAGTGCAAGGTCCCAAGTTCGATTCCAGGTGCCAAAAAAAGGACATAAACAAAAATTTGGTATAAGGGACTAAAGCATCATATGCCAAAAAAGCATCCTAACCAAGGCAATTTAGTTGTACAGGAAGAATTTGGGGCATAAAATAGTCCCCAGAATACCAGTGTTCTGGTCCTAGGGTTGGATGACAGGAATCCTGAGACCAAAGGCTGGCAACCAGGTTCACCATGCAGTCCCTTCAAGTGTCTGCTTTCCAAGTCCAGATTCACATAAGTATTTGTCTTCCAATCGCAGTGTGTGTCCCTAAAATGAGGGGTCCAGAACGACCTCATGTACCTCACCCTGGGTACTGTCTGCACTGGGGAAGGGTCCACCCTCTCCCTGGTTGGAGTGACAGGTCTGCTGGGGCCAGGCAACATGGTCATCACAGAGCTCCCGGGTTCTGGTATATGAAGATCAATCTGCTGCAGTCTGAGAGATGATTACCAACAGGAACCTACTTGTTCTTTTTCTATTTCTTGAGGAAAAGTTTGTGTGATAGAGCCTAGATCTCTGACTCTGCCAGTAACTTTGACGCTGTTTCTGGCAAGTCAGTCACTAAATTATACGGATTTTCTACTTGAAAGACATTATCTCTAACCTCTACAGTGGAGAAAAGCATTTCCAATTCCAAAACCTAATAACAACAGCCAAGTCAGTAGTGATTAACCTGTTTACCAGCTATGCTGTTGGCCACTGTGCCCCACTAATGAGAATTCCACTTTGCTCCACAGAGAGAGCCAGCTGAAGAGGCCTTGAAGAGCAACAATATGAACCTTGACCAGGCCATGAGTAAGTGACAGGGCACACGAAGAGCACTCTTTCACCCGTGTCTTGGCCAACTTTCACTTTTTCAGAAGCATCTTACAGTCTTGGATTAATGGTGGAATTTGCACTGGATAGACAAAAGCAGGCCACAGGGAAGGAGCAAGCAACCATAGGACAGGGACTGACCACACAGTCTGTCAGGCAGATGGGCTCTGGAGGCGAATGTTGTATTTGAAGCATATTTGCTGCTTCATTTTTTCCAGTACTCCAACAAATTGGTGGGATGTATACACCTGTTTTGAGAGGAAGTAATGACACTTGGAGACTATGCTGGGACCTCACATCAGACCTCTTTGGGTCCCAATGGAACTCTTCAAGCCTTGGCCTCTCAAAGGCAATTTATGGACCGTGGAGGCACCACTGTGCAGCTGAGCACATTTCTCTTCTTAGGAGACGGGCTTTGCTGTCAGAACAAGCAATCTCATAGTGCAACTGCTTTCTGTGAAAGAATTATTGTTTCGAGTGTTCATAAATACAGTCTGTTCTCCATATTCTTGGTAATTATGTCCTGTGAAGCCACTGCAGATACTGAATTAGCAAATCGATGTCATGTTAGCACATCTTGAGTGATTTCCCCTTCCTCCTGCTAGATGAACTCTGTTGATTCATTGACACTAAGCTTCCAACCCACACCACTGAAGGAAACTTACGACACACTTTCCCTGAAAGGCACAGCTCACATTTCTTATACTTGGGAACACTAGACAGTCTGCAGCCCTGCAAGAGGGACCATTTTAAACACCAAAATCACCAACAAAAACCACAAAAATATGAAAAATATGGTGCTAAGTGGCCCACCAAAAGGACACTTGACTATGTGAGATCCAAAGCAAGAAGGCAGAGCTTCACTTTGTTGGACCCCATCTGTATGTGGGAATATCAGGTGACTCAAATCTGCCAGTTTGTACGTTTCCACAAACAGCCACATAAGTACTGTTATATTTATTAATCTTTGAATTACAAATAAATTTCACTGAGCAGGTACATTTTCAGATGTAGACGCTATGAGTTGGAGATAGACTATATAATCATACTGGGGTCCCATAGCATGTGGTTCAGACACCAGCATAAACTGAAGCAGTAAATTCTAACTTCTTGGACTATAAAATAGTGCACAGGTTAAATGGCCCAAACAGGTACTACTGGTAATTAGATTGGAAGACTCATGAGGACAGAGTCAGTATCTATTATCACTCAGTACATGAGAAGTAATGTTCAGGAGATGGGAGAAGAGTTGCCCAAGCTGGGTCATCAGGAAGAGAGAGCCCCTGAGACATGATGGGTAGAGGGAGGAAGAAAGTGCATGGGGACCTGGGAAACAGGCAGGGTTCATCCCAGGGGCCAGGAGGCCAGGATGGCCAGAGTGCAGAGGAGCAGGGACAGGACAGAAAGAGGCGAGCAGGGGACAATGTCACGCATAGGGGCCAGGCGAGTACGCAGCATGGTGCTGAGCAGATGTGCTCTGGTTACACCTCTGCCCTTCTTGAGGGGGAAGGGCCATCTTCCTCCCTGAGGCTATCACCAGGGCTGTCCTGTGCAACACTGGTAACCATGCTTGATATCTATATTGCTTTCATTGTGCTCCAGGCGCTCTGCTGGAAAAGAAGGTGGACGTGGACAAGCGTGGACTGGGAGTGACTGACTATAATGGAATGGTCACTAAACCCCTCAGCTGTCGCCCACCAATCTCCAAAGAGTCTTCCATGGACCGTCCCACCTTTCTTGACAAGGTACAGATTTAGGCAGTTCTTTTGTTTGTTTTTGTAACAATAGGTGTTTTCATTTTAACTGCGTCTTTGATGTAAGTCAGGTTAAAAACTTGCTGGACTGTTGTATTTAAGTGACTCTTACTATTTTTTTTGAGATAGATGTTAAAGAGGTAATGTATTTCACATGTGTAGGATTAAAAACTGCTGGAACTGAAAAGCAGTTTTTATTTTTGTGTGAACTTGGCTGGTATCAGCTTCAGTTTGTCCAGTTGACTAGGATCATCAAATTTCTGTTTTGCTATCTAATTTTAAATTCATAGATCTAAGCCAGGCATGGTACCGCACACCTGCCAACCCAACATTCAGGATGCTGAGGCAGGAGGATCATTGTGAGTTCCAGGCCAGCCTGGGCTACAAAGTGAGCTCAAGGCCAACCTGAACTACATAGCGAGACTCTGTCTCAAAAAGACAAAAAAAAAATTTTTTTAAATAAATAAATTCACAGATCTTCCACTTGGAAATGTATTGCATGTTTTACCTCACAAAAAGAGAAGTTGTAGTGTGGGCACCTGCATCTGGCTGGCCTTTCCCACCATAGCATCTGTGGGAAGCTCCCTGGACACTTAAGACCAAACAGAGCTCAGTCCTAGTATTGTCACTAATGTCCCCTTTCCAACTAATGTGACTACAAAGAGGACAAGCATGACATTAAATTCAGTCGGGGGCCAGGGATGTAGCTCAGCAGCACAGTGCCTGCCTGGCAAGCCCAAGGCCCTGAGTTCTATTCCTGGTACCAAAAAGTTTTTTGAAAATAAAAAATTCAGTCAGAATGTTGAGCCCTGAAAAATAAAAATGAAGGAAAAAGTTTTAAAAAAAAAGTAAATTAAGGACCAGAAAGGCTCCAACAGGGGGCCTTAACATCCCCAAGAGAACATTCTGTTCTTGGAACCTGCCCCCTTACGTTCTGCTTCAGAAAGCTGGGCTATGTGTAACCCTAGGTACTCTTGAGGCTGAGGCAGGAGGAGGAGCACAGTTTGAGGTCAGCCTGGGCAACTCAGCGAGAGCCTATCAAAATAAAACCAAAAGGGGCCGGCAGGAATGTAGCTGAGTAGTAGAATGTCCTTGGGTTCCCAGTACCACAAAAAAAAGAAAAGAGAAATAAAGCTGTTCTACAGAGTAGCCCAGGAACAGCCACTAAAAAATTGTTAGTCATCTAAAATTCCAAATTAACTTGGCATCTTGTATTTTTATTTGTTAAATTTGGGAACCCTAAGTGTGGGACCCTGCCTGTTTCCTTCCCCTTAAAATGAGGAGTAAGAGTGCAGGCTGCTGAGGCAGGAGGATCATTGCAAGCTTGAGACCAGCCAGAGCTACAAAGTGAGCTCAAGGCCAGCCTTAACTACAGAGTGAGACCCTGTCTCAAAAAGACTGCAGGCTGGGGCTGGGGATTTAGCTCAACGGCAAAAGCGCCTGCCTGGCAAGCGCAAGGTCGTGAGTTCGGTTCCCGGTACCGGAGAAAAACCAAAAAAAAAAAGACTGCAGGCTGGTTGTACTACTAGATGAGATCAATTTGCAAAGACCTTGGCACATAGAATGACCTCAGTAAATCTTGAAAAAAAAAAAATTGAATAGGATTCTGTCTGTTTCATAACTACCCTCTTGTTAAGTTAAACCCTGTGAAATTGCTGAGTGTGTAGGTCAAAATTAAGTAAATATCAGAATTCAGCCTCATGTATACCTAAGAGCCTTAGTCGTAATCTCTCATAAAGAACCTGTATATTTGAAAATGGTTATAAAGTGTTATCCAACTAACACCTGGTCCCCACTTTTGCTCCCTTCTCCTTATGCTACCTAGTAGGGGGCAACAGTGTGTGAGCATACTAAAAGCTAATGTATATGCTTAAGTGTTTTTTAAACGAAAATGTATCTTAATCCTATTTCTCTTTTCTTTTTTCTCCTCTTCCTTTTACCCATATTCTCCATTCCCCCGTTATCCACATTTTTTGATCTTTTAATTCTTTATCCATCCATACCTCTCTCTATTTCCTTGGGAAACTGTTTGGTGCTTTGTCTACTGATGGACACTGCACACAGCTCACCCTTTCTTTTTCCAATCAGGATGGCGGCCTCGTGGAAGAGCCCACGACTTCACCGTTTTTGCCTTCCCCAAGCCTGAAGCTCCCCCTTTCCAACAGTGCACTCCCCAATCAGGCCCTGGGTGGGATTGCCTCAGGGCTGGGCGTGCAAAACTTGAACTCTTCTCGACAGGTAAGGCTGTTGGGAGAGAGCAGGCTGTGGTCTGTGTTCACTAGCCTCTTAAAAACTGCGTTGGAGACACTGTCTTATTTTAGCTAATACCTCTATTTTAAAACAGAATAGAATACGTAAGGGCAGTTGAAGGATAGACTATGTAAGCAGAGTTTCCTTTGGGTGATTCACCGGTGTCAGGAATTGAATAACAGGACCAGGTGTGTTGGCGTATACCTGTCAGCTGGGAAGCTGAAACCAGAGCTCAAACTGAGAAAGTTCAAGACGAGCCTTGGCAAATCAGCAACTAAACAAGACCCTGTCTGAAAATTTAAAAAAAAAAATAAAGGGCTGGGGATGTAGCTCAGTGGCACAACATCTGCCTAACAAGCGCAAGGCCCTGAGTTCAATTCCTGGTAGGAAAAAAGTTAATTAGTTAATTAAAATAAAATAAAAGGACCATGACAGTGGCTCAGGTGAAGGTGCTAAGTTCAAGCCCCATTATCACAAAAAAAAATTGAATAAAATTCTTGAATTTGGTTGTGTAATAGGAAATCTTCAAAGTTATTTTTATTTTTACACTTCACTAAAATATATTTGAGCTCCTCACTGCACCTTGGTTCTAACTTTCTGCTGGTTGAAATCATGCTGAGTAGTCTTCAGTTGAGAGGAAACACCACGTGTTTCCCCTTCCCCGGAGGTAAAGGCATCCTCTATGGGAAGGGCCTCAGGAGTCCCACTGGCCCTCTGAGGCAGGTAGAATCTCTGTGTGAGATGTGACTGCCTGCCCTGCCTTCCTGTGAATCCTCTAAAACATAGTCACCTGGCAGCGTGCTTCCTGGATGCAGAGTAGGCCCGCTTACTGCTTTTCTCAGGGAGGGCCCGCAGATGCCTTTGCGCTTCTCTTCAAGGAGATAACTGCTTTGGGAGGCAGAATAGCCCCTCTGTGCCTATGATCCCATGGAATTACTAGCAGGCCTTGTTGGTCCCAGCAGCTTCTAGCTCATCCTGGGCACTATCCTGGAGCTCATGCCATTGCTGGCCTGGTGGAGAGTGGTGGGAAGCCGGTATTTCATATGTTGTGACACCTGGATATTGGCAGCCCCTCAGGAGCATAGGCTCTCCCAAGAGAACTCAAAAGTGTGTCCTACTCCATCTATTTGTTAGGTAGCTCATGACACAGTACATCCAAAATGTATTTATTATATTCAACACAAGGTTAAATTCACTACCCTGATTTGCCGATTGATTCATTTCCAGGGTTGGTTGACATAGTAGCTATGTTTCTTGTTTGAAAATGTTGCTTTTGCTGGGCCAGGTGGTACCTACCTGTATTCCCAGATATGTGAGAGGCTGAGGTATAAGGATCACCATTGAACCTGTACAATTTGTACAACAAAGCAAGATCCTGTCTTAAAAAAACAAAAAGAAGTAAAATGTCATTCTTCTCCAGGGTAATGGTAGTCTATGCCACATATTCTTACTCTTTATTTTACCACAGCCTTTGGGAAATGTCTGTCACCCAAATACCCATGTCCTCGTTGCTGATGCGTGAAACACTGTTATTGTTTCTTTAGTTGATACCCTTATCTGGCCACTGTCATGTGGCTCCTATGATTTAAAAACAAACAGCTTCATTCCCCAACCTCTGTAGCCAGTATGACCCACACTCATCCTGAGTGCCAGAGCAGAGGCTGGGGGAGTGAAAGGAAACAGAAGCAGCCTTGCATCGTGATTAGGGGAAACATCACCCCGCCCCACCCAGCCCACTTTACTGCTGCCTCCCTGACCATCCATTCTGTCTCCCCACAGATCCCGAGTGGCAATCTGGGTGTGTTTGGCAATAGCGGAGCAGCACAAGCCAGGACCATGCAGCAGCCGCCACAGCCACCAGTGCAGCCTCTTAACTCCTCCCAGCCCAGCCTCCGAGCTCAAGTGCCTCAGTTTCTATCCCCTCAGGTCAGACCAGTGCCCCAGTTGGAGGCACAAGTGGGCGCAGGCGTGGTCACGGACATGTGGTGGGGACTTGTGCCACCTCTAAGCACTGTTTTAAAGTGAGAGCTAAATTAATCCTCATCACAGAGGAGGCCTTTCAATTTGTAACCTACAAAGTCATTTTAATCCATCAAGTAGTAAACTGACTGTCCTGCCCTGAGAGACATCCTCGGAGTCTGCTTCTTGACAGGCTCAGCCACCGAAGCCCAACATAAGCATCAGCAAGTTAGAGTGACTCTGACAGGGCGGAGAGTGCCCAGCACACTTCTGCTGGCATCACTTTACCTGGTCTGGCTTAAGAAAGCTCTTCAGTGAACCTGATGGTGGTCCTGGGTTACTGGGAGAGAAAAGGGCAGGCTGTGGGCTGTGAGGGACATTGAGGAAGCCACCCAAGACCACCCAAGAGTGACTTATGCTTCTGGGACCACATGTGATCACAGACAAGAGGACATACGGATTGTGGGTTTGGAGCTTCATTTAGTACTAGGTCATTTTGCATGAAGAGATTCTTAAGGAAAAAAAGTCAAATGGAACTAAAGAAAAGATACTGGTTTACATAGCTCTAAGACCTGATACTCACTTTTTCATATTAACATTATTTACCTTTAGAACATTACATAATTTTAGGCTTTACACTGAGTTTTTAATTATAGTGTAACAGCCTGGCAAACATGAGGTTGTGAGTTCAATCCCTGGTACCAAAAAAAAAAAAAAAACTCATAATTATAGTGTGACAGTCCCTACCCTTGTAAGAACACTCCACAATGAATTACTTTATACAGATAACCTCTTTGAGCCTGAGCCAACTCAGAGCTCTACCCAATGTGTAGGCAGAGAAAGACTCATAGCCCTGCTTAGGAAGAACAAAAAGGATTTTGAAGTCTCCATCTCCATCACCTTCTAGCATTCTTCTGGCAGAGGAAAAACATTCTTCCCTAAGTGATGACTGTTACCAAGAGGATACTTGAGATTTCTGAGGGTCTTTATTTTCAGCCTGTTCCAAAAGAGAATATGCTAACCAGTGGCGGTGAACCTGTGCCACACACATTATTTATCTTTTAAGACAGAAGATGTTAATGTATGAGTAGTTTTTCTTAAACTAAAACCTCACTATTCAGGTTTAATTGCAGTTGTTGGCACTTTGAAGTGAGTTTGGGCTGCAGTTTGGGCACCCGTCTCTAAAGGGTTCACTATCATCATATCCATCTTCTGTTATCCATAAAGTTTAAATTTTAGTTCAGTTTGTTAGCATATGGTATCTGTCCCTTTGAACTGCTATACCAGAAGACCTCGGACTGCAGTAATTTATAAACAGCATGACTCCATTACTCATAGTTCTGGAGGCTGGACAGCCCCAGATCAAGGCCCCAGGTGATTAGGTTATGTACAGTACTGGGGGGGCTCAACCTTCATGGGGAGTGACTTCTGTGCATCCTCATGTGGCAGAAGGAGTAAACAATCTCCCTCGAGCCTCTTTGCTAAGAGCACCTAATCACCTCCCAGAGGTCCCATCTCTTAATGCCGCTGTATTAAGGATTGTGTTTCAGCATAGGAATTTGGGGGACAAACACAAGACTGTTGGCCAAGAGAAAAGAACAGGATGCATCAGGGAATTTGCCGGAAGTAATTATCACTCCATAATGGCCTTAATCCATGTTGATTACTGAGTTGAGAAGTATCTAACCTGGGGCCGGGTGTGGTGGCACACGCCTGTAATCCCAGCACTCAGGAGGCTGAGGCAGGTTGATCGTTGCAAGTTTGAGGTCAGCCTGGGCTACAAAGTGAGCTCAAAGGTCAGCCTGAACTGCATAGCAAGACCCTGTCTCAAAAAAACAAAACAAAAAAAAAAGTATAGAACCTGGTGGAATAATAGTGAAGTACATTAGTTAGGATGCAGAGTAAACTACAAGTAAACTACTATAACAGACAGGCCCCGGAAGGCGATGGCTTAACCAAGATAGCACCTGGCTCTCCTGTGACAGGGAGGACAGGCAGTTCACAGCCTGCCACATGATTCCCGACCACAGGGAAAAAGGCAAGAAAGGCAGGGGTGGCCTGTTTGTATGATGGCTGGAGACTGCACAGGCCACTTCCAGTCTTCTCCCAGTACCCAGATCCAGCTCCACCACAGCTAATCTCAGGCAGAGGCAGAAGACTACAGTGAGTAGACTGTGCAGACCAGGATGTGCAAAGTATCAGTCATGTCTGTGCTATCTCACAATGTTCTCCATGTCTTCATATTACCTATACCATTACATATTTTTTCTTTAAATTGGCTTATCTTTAAATATACTTTTAAATAAAATTTTGTGGGCTGGGCATGGTGGCACATACCTGTAATCCTAACAGTCAGGAGGCTGAGGCAGGAAAATCACCATGAGTTCAAGGCTGGCCTGGGTATATAGTGAGTTCAAGGCTAGCCTGAACTACATATTGAGACCCTATCTCAAAACAAAACAAGTAGGAAAAAAAAAAAAAAAAAAAAAAAAAAAAAACCTTTGCATTTCTACTCTAAGTAGAAGAATTAGTGTTTTTCTAATACATGCTGGACCACTATCAAAGTAAAAAAATGCTCAACTGTGTCCACCTAAAATCATCTTATACACCTGCACTGCAGAGTTGTGTCTGACATTTGAAACACTGAAATAGCATGGCCAGGCCCTGGTTGGCTCAGAGTAGTGAGTACCCGTTGAAGAGACTGTCTTGAGTGGGCAACAGGTAGACATCAGGTCTGCTCTGCACTGAGACTGGGGCAGTGATGTCCAGTGATGTCCACTGAAAGCGACCTCTGCTCTTGGCAGTGGTGACAGCATCCTGAGCAGGTGCACATGTAGAGGAGAAGGGCTTGCTGAGCCTCCTGGCAGCTTCAGCTGCAGCTGTAACAGGTCTGAGAACCTCTGGAAGGCACGTGCCTCTGCCTACCCAGTGAGGTGCCAGCCAATGGGAATAGTCCTCCCCACCGCCGGGCCTTAAGGTTTCACTTTGGCAGAACAAGATCTCAGTCACTGATAGAAATGACCCCCAACTGTGGACAGGACAACTAAGATGTGACTAAGTATTGGGAAGAAGAAATTGCTTCAAAGACTTTTCTTCCTCCTTCCTTTTTAATACGTCAACTACTAATGTTAAAATGTCTACAGGTGTTCTAATAATAGCCTTTCAAACTCAATGTTGAAACAAATACAATTGTTAATTATTCATTTTGAGTCACAGAAACACTGTGTAGACAAGTAAACATTTTAATAAAGATATGATGGCTAATAGTATGTTTTATTTTAAACAGGTTCAAGCACAGCTTTTGCAGTTTGCAGCAAAAAACATTGGTCTCAACCCTGCACTATTAACCTCGCCTATTAATCCTCAGCATATGACGATGTTGAACCAGCTCTATCAGCTGCAGCTGGTGAGTGGAAAGGTTGCCCAGGTTACAAACACATCACTGACAAGCAGTTACTATAACATTTTTTTCACATCTGGATATATTATCTATCGAAACTGTTTTAGCAAAGTAAGTTTTTTTGTTTAAGGGTGTTTTTGCTGAGCTTTGTAAAATTTTCAGCTCCTCTGTGATCAGAAGGTCCCATAATTAGGCCTGTGTTTTTCTTTGAGGTCTCAGCCAATTTCTCACCTGAATCAGAGAACATAAAATACCATATAAGTGACTTTTCCCAGTTCTCCAAAGGATTGTATGCAAAAATACCGTACTAAACAAGTCAGAATGTAGTTGCTGCCTGACATATAGTGGGTGTTTTAGAGCATCTGAGCTTAATTCTCACACAGATCTCTGGCTGAGAATGAATGATATGCATCAGTAATTCTTAAAAGCTGTAACATTATTCAGTTTTTAATTTTCAAACAATCATACTGCCTTTTACCACAAAATGCCATGTGATTATATCCCTTGATACGTACTGAATTTTTTTTTTTTTTTTTTGAGACAGAGTTCCACTATGTAGCCCAGGCTGGTCTCATACTCATGATAATCCTCCTGACTCAGCCTCCTGAATGCTGGGATTACAGGTGTGGGCCACCACACTGGCATGAACTTATAAACACTAAAGGGATAAGAATATTATTTCTTTTTTTTTTTTTTTTTCTTAAGAGAGAGGATCTCACTGTGAAATTCAGGTTGGCCTTGAGTCCACTGTGTAGCCCAGGCTGGCCTTGAACTCACAGCCGTTCTCCAGCCTCAGCTTCCCAAGTGCTGAGATTACAGGCATGTACCGCCATACCCAGCTTATTTCATTCCTTAAGAATTTTCACTTGATTTACTTTAAAGTCCTATGCAGCACCCTTGTTGCCTAGAAAATGACCAAGAGTCATGAAGGAAACAGAAATACAGGAAGGTGATCATGGGAATGCTCCATTAAACAGAACCATTGATATAGAACTTTGGCTTCTAAGAGGTCCTCAGGCCCACGTTTACGCAGTTATAGGCACACCTCTGTCAAGTGTCTCTTTTTACAGTAAGCTGCGGGGGAATGGCAGAGGATGGCAGGAGGGAAGTATCCCAGAGACAGTGAGTGTGTCCTCAATTTCCTGAAGAGTGCAGGTCCCTAGACATGGGGCAGGATGTGGCTCCAGGGTCTTTCCTGATCCAGGAGGGAGTCATTGTGCTGGAGGTCCTCTGATGAGCCTGAGTTCAGGTACTACCTACAGGCACAGGTGTCCTGTTTCTCTCAGTCCCTACCACAGAGGAAGAGAGGAAGCCTTATGGGAACAGGCACAAGCGCAGAGCACAGAGGTCAGAGCCCCACCTCGGCTTCCTGCAGGGACAGCCTGGTGAGGTACTTGAGGTGTTACTGGCCCTATGATGTGGAAGACATCAAGAAAACATTGGCTTAGTGTTTTCTGTTCTTCAGTTTTTTCCCCAAAAAGTACAGAAACACAGTTCAGTGCTTCCTAATGTTTAAGATTTAGGCCCCTGAATATTCACCACCACCCATAATTAACGAGGCTCTTCTGATGGTTAATTTCTATCTTTAAGTCCTCTTGCCAAAATGTCTCCAGAAATTCATGTGAGAAAAAAATCAGCCAGACATTCCAAAATAATCATATGAGGAAACCTTGCATATCAACATACAGAAGAATATCAAGGTTGCTTCAGCCAACATCGATGGCAGATTTATGTGACCGAAGAGTCTGCAAATCCTTAGTTCAGCTTCTCTTCCAGCTTTAATTCCCTGTGATGTTGACTGAGATAATCACATGGCCTCCCAGTCCTTAAAAGCTGTTTAATATGTGTTATTTCATGATTAGGACACTTGTTGCTCTCTTTACTTGTACTTACTGTAGTTTTCTGCTACATTTTCTGGCCAGTCTGGTTTGTTCCACATTGAATGAAGAAGAGTTGTCTTGGGCCACATGTAAAATGTGTTAATATAGTTAATGCATATAAATAACAAAATTTCCTTTTTGGGAAAGGGATTTGTTCTTTTTGTTCTCACTATGTAGCCCAGGCTGGCCTCAAACTCGCAATGATCCTCCTGACTCAGGCTTCCAAGTGCGCCAGGCTTTACTATATTTTATCAGAGTATTTTTTTTAAAAGAGCTAATACCTCGAGGGCCACAGGTTAGACATACCTGGCTAGATGATTATAAGAATAAACTTCTTCTGGGGCTGGGGATTTAGCTCAGCGGCAAAAGCGCCTGCCTGGCAAGCGCAAGGTCGTGAGTTTGGTTCCCGGTACCGGAGAAAAACCAAAAAAAATTTAAAAAAAAAAAAGAATAAACTTCTTCTGCCAGGCATGGTGGTGCACACCTGTAATCCCAGCACTCAGGAGGCTGAAGCAGGAGGATTACTGTGAGTTCAAGGCCAGCCTGGGGTATATAATGGACTCAAGGCCAGCCTGAACTACACAGTGAGACCTTGTCTCAATAAAAGGAAAAAATAAATAAACTTTTTCATTGCCTTGCATCAGAAAGTTGAACCATTTGTGTTTTTGTTTGTTTTGTTTTTGAATCATTTGTTGATGACTGTTGTGTAATACTTACTCTAGCTTTTAGCCAGGCATGGTGATGCACACCTGTAATCCCAGCAGTTGGGAGGCTGAGACAGGAAGATCACAAGTTTAAGTCCCACCTGACAACCTAGACGCTGTCTCAAAAGAAAAAATTAAAAGGGCTGGGGACATAGCTCAATAGTAGAGCTCCCCTGGGTTCCATCCTCAGTACCACACAGACAAAAAAAGAAAAATTCTAGCTTTTCTTTTTGTCAACAGGCATACCAACGTTTACAAATCCAGCAGCAGATGTTACAGGCCCAGCGTAATGTTTCCGGACCCATGAGACAACAGGAGCAGCAAGTAGGTATCACCCAGACTGCCATTCTTTTTTCTTTTTTCTTTTTTCTTTTTTTGTCTTGTTGAGACAGGGTCTCACTATACCGTTCAGGCTGGTCTTGAGCTCACTTTGTAGCCCAAGCTGGTCTCGAACACGCAGCACTCCTCCTGCCTCAGCCTCCTATGTGGTGGGATACAGGCGTGTGCCACCAGGCCCAACCAGACTCCCTTATGACCTTAGCTGTAATTTTCCTGGGTTGAAGAGATACTAACTAATGAACTGTTACACTGTCGATTTTTCTCCAGCGGGGCTTCCCCTTAGAGAAGTCTTGGGATGGACTCTTGAGAGGGGCTCAGCCCTAGTCAGTGGAGACCTTAGGGTGAAAACACTTTATAAACGAGCCGTGTATGTCCCTTCACACCTGACTAAAGTGTATGTCTCTGCCTGCCAGGTCGCGCGCACAATCACTAATCTGCAGCAGCAGATCCAGCAGCACCAGCGCCAGCTGGCCCAGGCCCTGCTCGTGAAGCAGCCACCACCGCCACCCCCGCCACACCTGTCTCTGCACCCCTCTGCAGGCAAATCAGCCATGGACAGCTTCCCCCCACACCCGCAGGCTCCCGGCCTACCTGACCTGCAGACCAAAGAGCAGCAGTCTTCACCCAATACCTTTGCTCCTTACCCTCTCGGTGAGTCTCCCATGGGTTCAAGGCCACACCAGGCAGAGGGGCTGCCCAGAGTCCACCTGTGGTGACCAGAACTGCACTGCTGTGGCAGAAGGCTGGCCACTACAATAGCATGTGGGACACAGCACCAGACAAAATAGGAGAGCGTGTCTCGAAGCTTCCTCCCATGGGAGTCTCGCTGACAGCCTTCTGCAGAGCAAGTGCTTCACTGTGCTGGGAATACTTTGAGTATAAAGTTGGTTTGTTATTGTTGGTTTTGGTTTTTTTGTGATACTGGGGATTGAACCCAGGGCCTTCACATTGAACTACATCCCCAGCACTGTTTTTTTAATCTTATATCTTGAGACAGGTTCTTGCTAAGTCATTAAGTTGCCCAGACTGGGCTCAGACTTGCAGTTCTCCTGCCCAAGCCTCCTAGGGTGCTGGGATTACAGGTGCGCACCACTACAACCATCTTTATTTTGTTGTGACAGGGTCTCACTAAGTTGCCCAATCTGGGCCCAAACTTGTGACCCTTCTGCCTTAGCTTCCCAGCATGCTAGATCTACACCATCCCTGGCCAAATATAAGGTCTTTCTATAGTAGTACCTGTAAAGGCTCCCAGAATGTTTCCATTTCTGTTGTTGAATCTGGAAAGTTTGTTTATTCTTTACTTATTTCTTCTCCGCTGTTCTTTATCACCCACCATCCTTCACCGTCAGCTACAGAAAAGTCTATAACAATTCTGCCAATTGTGTTCAGACTCACTAAGCAGGCCCTTCTTAACACCTTCACAGTGGGGCCATAATTTGTATGCCTTGGGGCTGGGGCTTTAGCTCAGCGGCACAGCGCCTGCCTGGCAAGCGTAAGGTCATGAGTTCAATTCCCAGAACCGGAAAAAAAACACAAAAAAGCCGCAAAGGAGGAACACATTTGCCATTGACATAATTCGTATGCCTTACTCCCAGGTGGCTCTGGACCACTGGGGGTACATTCATGACTGTACCACTGGGTGGCATGGGACAGTTCCATCAGTTATATATGTGACTCATGCCAGCCACAATACGTTAATATGTCAGCAGCGGTCCCCACAGCACCAGCACTGCAGAATGGGACTTGCACAGCAACCCAATCTCTAATCTCTCCTCTCCCTCTCCTCCCCTCCCTTCCCTTCCCTTCCCATCTCTTATTTGTTTCCCTCCCCTCCCCTCCCCTCCCTCCCTCCCTCCCTCCCTCCCTCTCTCTCTCTCTCTCTCTCTCTCTCTCTCACACACACACACACACACCACACACAACTGTCCTGCTGGAGCACACTCACCACATGGCATCTGTGGGTCTTAGGGGATATTGGGTCCCCTCCAGGTCACACAGGCTGGCCCACGGAGGCGTAGATTATATAACCAAAGGAAGCAGAGGAGAAATGTCACCAGGAGCTAGGAAAGCCCTTCAGGCATGTCTGCTGATTGCTTCAGAATGTGTAGATAGGAACAGAGGGAATCAGCTTAGGAAAATACATCTCTAAAAGGGCAAAGTCTGGTTGAATGACTACAAACTTACCACCTCCTGATAACTACTCTCAAGAATGCTAGTATAACACTGTCTCCAATGTGAGCATTTCCAGGTTGATGTGTAACAAATATGTGTGTCTTTAGTGTAAGTACCAGACAGTATTGTCCCTTCATTACTGTATTGAAGAAGCAGAAGCATCTTGTGATTAAGACCTGATTAGGTGTCTGAGTTTTGAGTCCCAGCCTACCAGAAACTGGTCCACTGCTAATGGCAGCTTGCCTTACTGCTTTTTGCTTCCATATTTACCACTCTCTTAGTGACTTTCTCACTGCTAAGGCACAATACTTGACACAGCTTAAAAGAGGAAAGGTTTACTTGGCTCATGTTTACAGTGTGTGATTGGCTAGCTCCCAGAGAGTAGTGCAGAGGGGCACAGAGGATAAGCTGTTCATGCTGTGGTATCAGGGCAACAGAGAGCAAAGGGCGGAGACAGGGAGGGAGCTAGACCCTTCAAGGTCATGCTGCCCATGAGCCACCTCTTCTGACCGCACCCCACCTCCTAACAAGTTGGCTGGAGCACCACAGGAGCAGTCTGCCCAAACCTAACTGGTGCCCCCATCCGGAACTCTGTGTCAGCCTTTTCACCATCTTTCTTCATCACCCTAGCATAGTGCTTGCTGGTCCTTGGCAGATCTCCAGTTTTCCCCTACCACCTGGTGGCTGATGGCAGCACCCACACTCCCCACTACGTCAGTTTGTTAAAAGCTATTGGATGTGTAATTCATGAACTCCTGAAGGGCAGACTTCAGTACATGTAACATACATGTACTAAAGGCAGAACCGGATGGTCCTGACCAGCCTGTTCTGTAGGCAGTGCAGCAGTGCACTGAGTAAGGTTCCTTGGCCTAGCAGTTCCTCCAGTGGATCCTGAGGACTTGCCTCATTATTTGAACTCACTTTGCTGTTCTGTGCACTCTGACTGAGAACCTCAGGGCCATGTTTATCTACACTGAAACAAGCAAAACAGGAGCATTGCGAGTCATACTCAATTGAAGATTATTAGCATTTTCACCTTCAGGAAAACTGGTTCTTTTTAAAACAGGTGTTTTTCCACCAGTATCAAAAGTTAATATATTTGACCATGAATGAAGACTGGACTGAGGTGGCCAAGAGGACGGGCAGGACTGTCCTGATAGTGTCTCTGTTTTCAGCTGGACTAAACCCAAACATGAATGTCAGCAGCATGGACATGACCAGTGGCTTGTCAGTGAAGGACCCATCTCAGTCCCAGTCACGCCTCCCTCAGTGGACACACCCCAACTCGATGGACAGCTTGTCCAGTGCTGCTTCTCCTATGGATCAGAATCCCAGCAAGCATGGTATGTCTTGGCCAGCATGGCCACAGAGGGGTTACTGTTGTTTTTATAATGTTATCCTTTTGTATAGCACACTTACTCTATACATTTCTGCAATCCAGTGCTGATATCCCAATCTAAAAGCCAGGTATGATAGTGCATGCCTGTAGTCCCAGCACTTTGGAAAGCTGAAGCAAGAGGATTTCAACTTTGAGCCCAGCCTGTGCACCTAGGGACTTCATGAGACCTGGTCTCAGAAAAAAAATGTGAAAAATAGTTCTGGAACTATAGCTCAGTGCAAAGGCCCTGAGTTCAACCATGTGTATGCATACACACACACACACACACACACACACAGACACATTCCATTCCATCACAGAGTATAGAAGATCTTGGGGACCAAACTTTTTTTTTTCACAGTACTAGGGGTTGAACCTAGCACTTTATACTAGGCAAGTGCTCTACCACTGAGCTGTACTCAAAAACCTTTTTTTTTTTTTTTTTTTGCATTATTTTATTTGAGACAGTGTCTCACTGAGTTGCCCAAGTTGACCTATACTTGCAGTCCTCCTGTCTCAACCTCCTCAATAGCTGGGATTGGATTATAGATGTATAGCACCATGCCAGGCTTAAGACCAAACTTTTTAAACCTCAAACATCCAAACTCAGAAATTATTGAAAAAGTCCCAGAGCAACAAAGCGTGTAGGTCATACCCTATATACTTTTTGTATCTGTATTCCTCAATAAGAAATGAGCCCATACTCATAAGTGGAATAAATAAGACTCACATGTAAACATTGTATTGTCTCAATAGTATAAGCAATTGAAAAAGTAAATAAGATCCAAAAGGTACAAAGCTATTGGGAAAGGGAAAGAAACTGCTGATAAAGAACAACTGGGATGGGGGAAAGGAGAAAAGAAGGAAGGGAGAAATAAAAAATATATATATATACACACATACACAAGATAAGCAAGATAGGGGCTGGGGATTTAGCTCAGCGGCACAGTGCTTGCCTGGCAAGCATGAGGTCATGAGTTCGATTCCCGGTACTGGAAAAGAAACAACAACAACAAAAAAAGATAACTAAGATAATTGTACTCTAATTTTCTATTAGTTCATTGAAAGGAACAGTGAGTGCTTATATTGTTTGATCAATTTTGCATGCCTATCTGGTAATTTGAGCAACTACTTTGAAGATAACAATATGCAATATAATAACCATTGTTAATTTCCTGTCATCTTGTTTTAAAATTCTGTATCATTTTTATTGGTTTTTTTTCTCTTTAAAATAAAAAGATACACTTGAAATAAAAATACTACATAAAATTACTTTAGTCTTCTGAAAAGAAATTTTTTTCAAAAAAATGATAAAACACGGGCAATAGTATACATCTGTAGCCCCAGCTACTCAGGAGCCTGAGGCGAGAGGATCTGAAATTTAAGACCAGTCTGAACAAATTAGAGAGACATTGTCTCAAAACAAAAAATTTAAAAGAACACTAGCTCAATGGTAGAGCTCTTGCCTAATGTTGCAGGCCCTGGATATGATTCCTAGTACTGCAAAAGATAAAACGCAAATTAAAATTCAGTTGCTTAAGAATGGAAGAAACAGGCTGGGGATTTAGCTCAGCGGCACAGCACCTGCCTGGCAAGCACAAGGTCGAGTTCGATTCCTGGTACCAGGAAAAAAAAAAAAAAGGAAGAAGCAAAACATGGTAACCATAGGATGCAGTCTCACTATTAAGCATTAAATTTAGTTCTGAGCATGCTGGTAACATAAGAAAACAAAGGAGGGCCTGGGGATTTAGCTCAGCGGCAAAAGCGCCTGCCTGGCAAGCGCAAGGTCGTGAGTTCGGTTCCCAGTACCGGAGAAAAACAAAAAAAAAAAAAAAAAAAGAAAAGAAAACAAAGGAAATTTAACAGTTATATAGGTCCTTCTCGATATAAGATGCAGTTTAAAAAGAAAAAGAAAATTCTTTCTAAGAATTAACTCTATGAAAAATCTCCCTGTAACATCAGAGTACTTGCTGGGCAGAAGAGCACCCATCACATGAGCTGGCTGGTGGTCTGTAGATTTGATGCTGGGGTTCTTCCACAGTAAGGGCAGCGGGCTGTAGGAGGGAAGGATATACAAACAGCCCACAGTGACAACTAACCACAGAGACTCACAAGGTCTCCGCAGAAAGGTTTATTGTGGGCCATTCCCCATGGTATGGATATACGTTGTATAAAGATTTGCAGACTAACATTAAAATGGTGCTTCAAGGGTTTCTTTCCTCCAGGGATGAACTTTTGTAACTGAAATAGTCACTGACTTTTAGACAGGTCAAGTCTGACAGTTCGTGTAACTGAAAGGGGCAGGGACTTAGACCAAAGGGAAGACTCTCCAGTGGCCCCAGTGTCACAAGCAGAGTGTTCACTTGGTTACTATTCTCTGTTGTCCTGTAGGTGCTATCCCTGGAGGTCTAAGCATTGGGCCTCCAGGTAAGTCCTCCATTGATGACTCCTATGGCCGGTACGATTTAATCCAGAATAGTGAGTCACCAGCCAGTCCTCCTGTAGCTGTTCCCCATAGCTGGTCACGTGCCAAATCTGACAGTGATAAAATCTCAAATGGCTCCAGCATCAACTGGCCCCCAGGTAAGACCCCGAGGCACTTCTAGGGGATGGCACTTCAGAGCCTACCCAAGCCTAGGAGCGAGGTTAGACCTGAGAGGAGCCAGGATCTGCCCTATGGGTTCTAAAAGCATTAAGCTCACAGCTTTGCTATTTCATTGGGAATCCATTTGCCAAATCAATTTAGGGTGTGGTTGGCATTAAACAATACCCTGCAGCCCCCTTATTTCAACATAAGGAAAAGAAGGGATGGCTACAGGTGGGGAGGGGGTTCCCACAAAAACATTCAGACCTTAATGTGGTAGCTGTGATAACCTGGCTCTGGTTTGTTCCAAAACAATGATTGTTTTCATGAAAGAGTCTAAACTGTGCCTGTGAATTTAATTATCAGATGATAAAAATTTCCACAAACAGGAAAAAAGTATGTTCAGATGTCAGTTAAGCAGTGTGAAGGTGCCCTATCATGCAGCCTCGCTTTGGTTTCCATAAACAGAGTTCCACCCTGGAGTTCCGTGGAAAGGACTTCAGAACATTGATCCCGAGAATGACCCTGACGTCACTCCTGGCAGTGTCCCCACTGGGCCTACCATCAACACCACCATCCAGGACGTCAACCGCTACCTCCTCAAGAGTGGAGGTAAGGACAGGGGCCGCCCCACCTGCCTTCTGTGGGAGAGTCTACAGGCACCTTCAGAGATGCCAGAGGCACTGTGGGCTGTAAAGCAGATGTAGCATGAGACACGGATGATGGACACCTTTTCTGATGTCAAGTAGTGCAGACAGGAGCAATGGAGATTGATGTGGGGTGATTGATGCTTTTCCTTGAATGATTAACACAGGTTAAATTGGGCTTATCCAAAATGCTTGGGATGAGAAGTGTTTGAGGTTTCAGAGCATTTATTCATTTGTTTATTTTTTGTTTTGTTGGGTTTGGGGGGTTTTTTGTTTGTTTTGGGGGGAATTTTGTTTTTTTGAGACAGATTCTCACTATCTGGTTCAGACTGGCCTTGGACTCACAGTGATCCTCCTGCCTCAGCCTCCAAGGTGCTGGGATTTTAGGCGTGTGGCACAACATCTGGCTTCAAAACTTTTCTGATTGTAGAATATTGGCATAGACTTCACTGTTTTATCTCCCTTGTCTGAAAATCAAACTGTGCCAACATAATACTTTTTTAAAATGGTATAACATGACATCCAGGTTGAGTATCCCTTGTCTGTAAACCTGAAATGCAAAGAAACTTGGTAAGCCTTGTGTTATCAAGTCACACTGTTAACTTTTAGCTTTTTTTTTTTTTTTTTTTGGTTTTTCTCCGGTACCGGAAACTGAACTCACGACCTTGCACTTGCCAGGCAGGTGCTTTTGGCCACTGAGCTAAATCCCCAGCCCCAACTTTTAGCTTTTTAATAAATGAATTTCCACCTGAAATCTCAAAACTGAAAAGGAATTTACCCCTGTCCATCTCAGTCTGTTTTTCCTGTCTTTAAAAACTCCAGTGAAATCTGTCCTCGGGGGTTTTCCCTGGCACAGGTCTCGGTGCTAACTTTTCTCACACCATCAGTCAGACTTCAGGATCCAGAACAAGAAGTGCTGGTTGAGCTGTGAAGTTAGGAAATACAGTTGAGGTGCCCGAGTGGGAAGGGAAGCAGTGCCTCTTTCCCCTGAGGCACACTTAAAGGAAAATCCTGAAGCATGGTCTGAATTTGATTGTCAGCACTTGATTGTATAAAAGAGCCAAGTTTCCAGAGAGGCCCCAAACATCCTTCCCCAAACATTAATGTGGGTTCCCACTTAAATTCAGATCTGTTGGAGCAAAGTGTTGTCTTCTCTGGCTCTTTAAAAAGAGTGTTTCCAGGCGCATGTGCAGTCTGGGTGGAAGCCCTGGTGAATACACATCACCCTTCCTGTCCAACACTGTGCATTCCCTGGGCTAATGAAGTGGCTTCGTGGAGAGCTGGACAGAGGAGTGGCACAAGAACAGAAGCTCAGTGCTTCTGGGTGCAGTCTTCACCATCACCAAAAAAAAACTGCTAAGCTTCGACACAAGGAAGCTGTTCCTTGAGAACAGCCCAGGTGCCCCTGTGCCCTCTCCAGGTGGGGACAAGCCTCCCTCAGCAGAAAGAATGCAGCTCTAGTCCTAGGGTGACTCAAGTTCATACACAGCTGTTGGGACAACATGGTCATTATTCCCATATTACAGGAGGGCCATAGGAATAGCAGTTGAGGGGTCAGGCAAGTGCTCATATTTTTATGACAAAATTTACAGTGAAAATCTTGGAATTTCGTTGTTTTGTGATTTTGTGATTTGAACCATGAAAAGATGGGGATTGTCCTGTATTTAAATTTTTATCCTGTTTGGAAGGGGAAATCACTGATGCTTGAAAGCTCTGACTTGGTATTTCAAGCATCCTGGTGGTAGTGATTCTCTCCCCTAGAGTGGGCTCCTGCCATTCCCAGGCCTGTGCCACCTTGGCCTTCAGGAGCAGTGCCGCTGCCACCCCCAGGGCTGCATGCCTCAGAGCATTTTCTGAGCATCTTCTCCCCAAGCTGTAGCAACATTTTAGGAAGCATTTCTTGTGCTTAGCTCCTTGTGTGTGTCTGACTGCAGCCTCTGTCTGGCTTCCGTACTTGGTTCTGCGGTCTTTCCCCAGCCCTCTTCACAGAATACCAGCTGCCTTCCAGCTTCTGCTGCAGCCCTTGCGACAGCATTGCCCTTGCCTAGTGTTGCAGGTACCACCTGGCCTCCTGACTTGCAGATAGTGGTTTCCTTCTTTCCCCAGACAAAACTGTGGGAGCTATTTCTATTGGTCTGTTTGCTCCCTTCTGACCTGGAAGGCCATGTGGTGATGAAGCATAATGTAGGCCTGGCCACCAGCCACAGAACCTTAGGCACAACTGCCACCTCACATGCATTGAGAATGTGTGTGTTGGCAGAGCAGACCCAATACATGCTCCCACTTGAATGGATTTGTGTCCTCCTCTCTCGCTTGGATACAAGAGGTATGAGACTGGAGACACTTAGGTAGGAAACAATGGAATGTCCTGTTCCTTGAGTTTACCATGAAGAGTGGCGGAGACCACCCCGCCAGGTTCTGTCATCTGTCCCGAGCACCCAGTGTGCTCTATTCCACCACTTGGATCCATGTGGTATCTGACACACTCTATGTACTGCTGACCATTCAAGGCCTTCAAGTATGAGACCTCTTTTAGGGCTAGAGGAAAAAGGAAAAGGGTTTGTCACAAAAACTTGAGAGAAATTTCAATCTGAAATTCTTAAGGATATAAAGAAGTGGATATATGCACAAGCTGTGTAGCAGATTTGCAAATAGATGTATCATTTATAAATTTCTTCATAGATATGTCAGTATTCCATCAAACCTTCTCATGCAGATTTTTTGCTTTTTTTTTTTTTTTTGGTACTGGGAATCGAACTCAGGACCTTGCACTTGCCAGGAAGGTGCTTCTGCTGCTGAGCTGATCCCTGGCCAACATCCAGATTTTTTAAAATCAGCATGGTGTGCCCCCCGCCCATGAGGGCAGCAATAGGCATCTACTAAATAGGAGTCCTAGGAGAAAGCAGGAATTTCTCTTTTTTTCTTTTCTTTCTCTTTCTTTTTCTCCTTTCCTTCTTTCCTTTTGATTGAACCTAGGGCCTTAGCACATGCCCTGCAAGTACTATACTATTGAGCTACACCCCCAGCCTAAAAAAGCAGCTTTGATGTAGTTTAGCATCTTACTTAAAAAAGAAATGAGCTATGGATTTTTATTCCTTCTAATGTTTACAAAGAGGTGTATTTCAACTTTTAATATTTCTGTGGTCATTTAATTAAAATAAAATCATCTTCCCTATATCTTAGTCAACTTTCTGTGGTGTTTTGTTTTTCTAACCATTGGTACCTTCTAAGGTTCCTTAACTGTGAGATCATCATCCTCTCTGGTGGCCAAGCTTGGGAACTGCATCTGTTTTGTGGATGCTGTCCTTGTGCTGTCCAGAAGTTGCACAAGAGCATATGGGGACAGCCACCACTCTGCTGCCTGCACTTCCTGCCTCTGCTGTGCAGGGCTTCGTTCATTCCAACCTAGCCATAGGTATCTGAGGGAGCTGGAGCTGGTGGTCATTGCTGATTTTGTTTTTTCTCCCAAAGAGCTTTAAAAGAGTATATCCGCCTATGTTCTCCCCCAACCCAGGCCAATCCCTGTGTGCACCCATTTCTACACACCAAAGACAAGGGTACCTAGAAGTTGTGGGAGCTCACAGTATATGAGAAGGGTGATCATGTCAGGAGCACTGCAGAAGAAAAAGCAAAGAAGAGCCGGGTGTGGTGGTACACACCTGTAATCCCAGCACTGAGGAGGCTGAGGCAAGAGGATCACTGTGAGTTTAAGGCCAGCCTGAACTAAATAAGACCCTGTCTCAAAATAACACCCACCCACCCCCACAAAAAAAGGAAAGAAAAATGTGCACCTGTTAAGCTTCTGACCTCGTCAGATGTGTCTCAGTAGAACATACTGGTAAGTTAATTTTAACACTGAACGTCAGAAATTCTGTTTCATAGGTGGCAAATGTTAGCAGATTGATAGAAGTGTCAGAAATACTGGCAAGATCTATATGGGACATTCAGACTATGTCTTTGAGCAGAACTTAAAGAGAGAACATAGCCTGGGGGTGGTAACATGCCTATTGTCCCAGAACTTGGGAGGCTGAGATGAGAGGATTATTGGAGCCCAGGAGTTAAGACCAGCCTAGGCAATATAGAGAGGCCTTGTCTTAAAAAATAAAGTCATCAAAAATAGAGTATATCCATGGGCCTTACTTTGAAGCACCTTATGGGCGTTTCTTTTTTTTTCTCCCAAGCTGCTAGTACCAGAGAATGCTCCCCTGGCTCACCAGAGCAAGCACTCTGTCTGTCTACAGAATGCATGTGTTTCTCTCTGCCTTCTAGGTAAACTGTCAGACATTAAATCGACATGGTCCTCGGGCCCAGCCTCCCACACACAAGCCTCTCTGTCTCATGAGCTGTGGAAGGTGCCCAGAAACACTACTGCACCCACCAGGCCCCCACCAGGGCTAGCCAATCCCAAGCCTTCCTCCACCTGGGGTGCCAGCCCCCTCGGCTGGACCAGCTCCTACTCCTCCGGTAAGCACCTTCCTCTTCCTTTTCTGATGGGCACTGAGATGCTCTGAACTTCTGTGTTCATCACTTAGGAGATGTATTTACCATCTTCTTTGGCCACCCTGGATTTGACAGGCCATTGAGGACCAAGCCTGGTGTAGTAGAAGCATCGCCGCAGGTGTGCACCTCGCAGAGCTTTTGGGCCTCGGCTGGACGGTCATAGGCAGCCCCAGTGCTAATCCTTTCATGCTGCTTCTATCTACCAGGCTCTCAGAAAGGCCTGATCAGCCATTTAGGCTTCTCACTCCCATCAGCCAACACTGGGAAATTTCTCCCCTTTGTGTGCGCTTCACCATAAGACTTCACTGGAACATAGGCTTTCCAGGCCAAAAGTAAAACATGGGCTAGCAGCAAGGCGCTGGTTGAAAAGCTGGAGGCTTTCAATCAACTACAGAGTATTTGAAAATAACCACTTCATCCTTTAGAAGCAGCCCTTGTGGGTTTGCTTCATCTCATTAACAAGCAGAATATTAGCATGCTGACGGTCAGGGTGTGGGACAGGATGGAAAGCAGAACTTCCCAGGTGATCCTCATCTGTCCCTCACAACACAGATGGGAAGGCGTGAAGCCTCCTCGGCTGGTGGGAACATCCAGGAAGTCAGAGTTGCTGTGGACAGGGGCCGCAGGGACCATGAGATTTGGGTTCACCAGAGCCTCCACAGGTTTGAAAAGCTTAGAGGCCGCTGTGTCTGTTAGGTAAGATTAGAAATTTGGAAGAAGGCCACACACCACCTGACTGCTGTGTGGCTTGTCAACTGAGTGCTTGTCCCCTGGGCTTGTCATGCAGGTTCTGCTTGGAGTACTGACACCTCAGGAAGAACAAGCAGCTGGCTCGTTCTTCGCAACCTCACACCCCAGGTATGGGCGCTAGCTTCCAGGAGGAGTGCCGGGGTGCCCTTGGCCCCTGGTGCAAACAACTATATATGCAGGCACCCTTGTTCAGGGCCCAGGGCAACACAGGCAAGTGCAGGGAGGCATGTGAGTACCAGAGAATATTAGCCCATGTAGCAACAGGTAGACGCAGCCAGGGGCCTCCTAACCATTTCCTGGTTTCTTTACCCTTTAGGGGCTGAAAAGTATATCTTTGTAACAGGGCTACTTAGCTAAAAATTGTAGTGGTTCCTTGGTTCACAAACTTGATTCTTTCCATGACTCTGATTGCAGACAAGTTGGACGAGAACCACTCAGTTCTCGTCCAGTTCAGTTCGTGACCAGAATCGAGGAGAGAATGGAGTTCCTGAACTGAGGAAGTACTATATACCCACTCCAGAGTGACTTGGCCAACTGGACTGTGTGGCCAGCCAGTAGTCACCTTTCCCAGGCTTGGGGCATATCTTTCTGCAAGGACTGTAGTGTCTTTTTGCAAGCCTCAGGCACTACAGGATATGCTCCGGTGAGAAGAGAGTAGACCCAGAATGGAATTTTTCTTGTTCTCTGATTAGTTTCATTCAAGAAATGTAACTCAAGTAACCATCATTTTAGGTATGTCCCTGGCCATGGTATTAGCAGACATTAGTACCCCAAAGCTATCTGTTAGTAAGTCTTTTTGAAGAAAGACGTTGTCCTAGTGTTTAGTGCATCCAATCTGGATACTGGTTTTGAAGAATGTTGTGAACAAACTTGGAGGGAAACACATGGGTGCCCTGTGCTTTCTTCATCAGATTGATGGTTCCACCCTGCGGACGCTGTGTCTGCAGCATGGGCCTCTCATCACATTCCACCTGAACCTGACCCAAGGCAATGCCGTGGTCCGCTACAGCTCTAAGGAGGAAGCTGCCAAGGCCCAGAAATCTCTGCACATGTATGTTTCTCCTCAGCGCACCCTGTAGCCAAATACCACAGTGCCCCAGAGCTGGCATGGGGGCTATACAAGTGCCCTGGGGCTTCCTGCATAGTCCTACCGGCCAGTGCCTTAAATAAATTGCAGAAATTGGTCTGGTTTGTTTTGCTTTGGTTTGGTTTGGTTGAGTTTGGCTTGATTTGGGTTTTTTTGGTTTTGGTTTTGGTTTGTTTGGTACCAGGAATTGAACTCAGGACCTTGTGCTTGCCAGGCAGGCTCTGTACCACTGAGCTATATCCCTGGCCCCTAGTTTGTTTTTTTAACACAAGGTCTCACTCTGTAGTTCATGCTATCCCTGAACTCACTGTGCAGTTCAGGCTGCCCTCGGACTCACAGAAATCCTCCTGCCTCAGCCTCTGGAGTGCTGGGATTACTAGCGCATGCCACCATGCCCAGTTCTGGAGGCTGGAAGCCTGGCCTCAAGGTGCTAGGAGGGTTCATTCCTTCTTAGGCTGCTCTTCTCAACTTATACACAGTTGTCCTCTCCTCTGTCTCCACATGGTTGTCCCTCTGAGTGTATCTGCACCCTGATTCCCTCATACAAAGATGCCAGTCATGTTATGTTAGGGCCACCCTATCTCCAAATACAGTCACACTCAGCAGCACTGTTAGGAGCTGTGATAGGTATTTGGGGTGGCACCATACAGGTCAGCATGGATGTCTCAGGATGAGCTGATTTCTGAAGCTGCTAAGTTGCTGTACTACGTCAACTATGAGAAAAGCCTTCCCAGAGAGCACCTGCTGAGCCCAGCGACGGAAAGCAGACATTCTGTGTTCTAGAAAAGTGTACACAGGGCCAGCAACAATCCTCAGAACCAGCCCCTCTGCCTTGTTAAAGCATGTTTCAACACAGAATATGTATAAGTTGACCTGCTCAATGACATCCCTTGAGATGTGGGGCCTAGAAGTTACTCCTTCCGAATTTAAATTGTACTGATGCTAAATTGTACTGATGCTGACTGGCCCCTGCTGGGTGTGGTGGCTCTTACCTGTAATCCCAGCACTTGGGAGGCTGAGGCAGAAGGATCATGACAAATTCGAGGCCAGCATGGGCTACATAGTAAGTTCAAGGCCAGTGTGGCCTACATAGAGACCCTGTTTCAAACAACAAAAAAGTGAGGAGAATATTCACAATCTGGCTTGGGTCTGGGCCGCCCGTGGCTTGAGGTCTTGGGCCATGCCTTCCTCAGTGGCTCAGCTTCAGGACTTAGTGACATGCTCACCTGACTTCTTGCTTTGCAGGTGTGTGCTGGGAAACACTACCATCCTGGCTGAGTTTGCAGGTGAAGAAGAAGTGAACCGGTTCCTGGCCCAAGGCCAAGCCCTGCCACCCACCTCCAGCTGGCAGTCCAGCAGCGGGAGCAGCCAGCCACGGCTGGGTGCCTCAGGCAGCACCCATGGCCTGGTGCGAAGCGATGCCACCCATTGGGGTGCCCCATGCCTGGGTAGCAAGGGGAGCAGTGAGCTGCTGTGGGGCGGAGGGCCCCAGTACTCGAGCAGCCTGTGGGGCCCACCCAGTGCTGATGATGGCAGGCTGATCGGCAGCCCCACTCCACTGAATACGCTGCTGCCAGGGGACCTGCTCAGTGGGGAGTCCATCTAGGGCCACAGGCATCCCTCAAGGTGAGGAAGAGTGCCAGCCTCCGTTCCCAAGGTCCCAGCGCACTGTGGTCCTGCCAGACAAGCAGCCTGCGGCCCTTTTGAGTACCTCTGTCCAGTTTTGAAGACAAACCTTCGCCGCAGCCCTTGTGAACTGTTCTGAAACAGTGCGGGCTGCATTTGGTCAGTGTCACATGCTAACGACAGGATGTTCCTCATAGCTTTTTATTTTGTGTCGTCTTACATTTGTATGGTGTGTTGTCATTTTGAGTTTTTAAGTATAAAAGCTGCTTAGAATAGTTCTATCATGAAGGGCACTTTTCAGATTGTGGGCTGGAAAGGGTTATTTTATCGTGGGCAGGGAGGGAGGGAAACGTGAAGCCTATTTAAAGTGAGCCTGTGACGATTATGCACATTACCAGAGGCGGTGGGGCATGGAGCATGGGCGCAGAGCTGAGCGGGCACCCTCTGCCGTCACTCTCTGTTCCTCTGATCCGCCTATGCACATTACCCTTATTTCATTACTTTTTCATGTCATTTTTTTATCCCAAAAAATATTTTTTAAAAGTTTAAAAAAAAGACATATCAAACATGCAAATACTTGAATCCAGCAGGCCAATAATGAAATGTGAACACTTTCTAAGTCTAATTCTACACTTCCAGGTTGACATCAGTACACAGAAACAGGCTCTAGGAAAAATTTCTAAGTTCATAGCCTATGTGTGTGTGTGTGTGTGTGTGTGTGTATGTATGTGTGCGCGCGCAACAGTATGCAAGAGTGTGTGTGTGTGTGTGTGTGCTCCTGCATGGTGCACGCTTCCTGTGTGTGAGAGAGATTTAACTGTGGGTTTTCCCTTTTATTCAGTATATGCTTTTTTTTTGGCGCATTGGTCAAATGTTTGTTATTATTAGCTTCTAACTTTGCACTGAGGTGTCCCTGCCCTTCCTTTAGCTAATCCTAAACATTAAAGCGAATTCACAGGACAGGGCTGGTGACAATTCATGTGTAAATGTTTACTCAAGGACTCTGTTAATTGCGTTTAAAATTACAGTGTATATCTCTGGAGAAATAATATGTATATCTACCTTTAGCAGCTTTTTATTGTGGACTAATGCAAGAAAACTATTACCAGAGTATTGCACCATTTTTTCCATTTGGGATATAAAGTTAAAGAGAAAAAACTGTTGCTGAACTGTGGCCATAGATACTTGTAAAGAATGGATGGTTCCGCCAAAGGACTGGGCGGAAGCAAGCACTTGGACATGGGTTGTGACTGCTTTTGGAGGAGCCTGTGGTTTGGGCTCCCACCTGTTTACAGACCTTTTTTTTCTTCCTTTAGACTTTAAAATTTAAAAAAAAAAATTTAAAAAGGAATTTTAAAAAAGAAAAAAAAAGACTTCTGTCGTAAAGAAACCTATTTTCAGAATGCAGATGCGATACTTCAGAGCTCTGGGATTGGACAGTGCTGTCCCCCTTCGGCCATCGTTGTGGACTCTGTTGATTGTTCTCACCCCTTCATCACAGTGACAAGGCGTTGTGGTCACTGTCTTGCACATGCCGGACGTGCTCTCAGGAAAGCCAGGGCTCCCGAGGGCAGCTCCACACCATTTCATGTATTTTTAAGCCCAACTCCTAGCACTGAAGATGTTACTAAAAAACAAAAACTTTTAAAAAAAGAAAAGAAAAAAAAGATTTAAAAAAACCACAAAGAAGAAAAATACCTAATCTCTAATGTGTAGCAGTTACATATTTACCAAATAATGGACTCAAAAGAAATAGATGTTTGAAGAGTGCTTTATATATTAAAAATTGCTTTATGTTTTAAAAATGATCAATGTTTTGTTTTGCAAGGATGAAAAACAATGGAATAACACACCCTCAAGTATGTTTTAAAAACATATATATGAACACTGTGCTCCCTGCCTGCTTGATCAGGGAACTTGTGCACTACATTTTTTCAATTAGCTTTTTAATGGTTTTATCAAAACAAAAACCAAAACAAAAACCAAAAAAAAAAAAAAAAAAAAAAAAAAAAAAAGAAAAAAAGAAGAGTCCTGCAAGATTGCAGATCCACAAAAGCTGGTTTTATAGAGGATCATGAACTATGCACAAACTGGGTTCAAGACGTTTTTTCTCAAGTTTCGTAGTGTATTTAGCTAACAGACCTTCCTCAGAGTGATTGCATCTCATTGCCATTGCGTGCATGCTGTGTATTTGATGTACATGTACCTGAGTATGTATATCAAATACACGCGTGTGCATGTGCGTGCGTGCGCGCCCATACAGCTTGCCATGCTGCCGTTTAGCACTGAGTTGTAGAAAAATTCCTGATGTTTTAAAATTGGGGGTGGAAGAATCTGTTGTTTTCACTTTTTGTTGTTTCTTTTTCCTTTTCCTTTGTTTTGACCTTTTATTTTGAATTTAAGATGTCTGTAACTCTGAGATTAAAAAACAGATTTGTGGCTCTTAATGTTTTTCTTCATAGAATGTGATTGTTCAAGAACATGCACCGAAAGTTGCTTTCAAAAGTACAACGCTTTGTTGAATCTTAATAAATGGCAGTTTTTTCCTTGGCTGTTCAAATTAACGTGTCATATTTTTCAAACATAAGGCATGGTGGTGCCAGGCAATGGTGGTGCATGCCTATAATCCCAACACTCTAGAGGCTGAGGCATGGAGATTGCTGTAAGTCTGAGACCAGCCTGGGTTACATGGTGGCCTAAAAAAAAAAAGTCATTCTCTGCTGAAATTGAAGAGTCACCCTGCAGTATGCAAACTCATCCCTTAACTTTCTCAGTTTATACATACACTTAACCTCAAGAGTTTCAGTTGACATAATTTCATTTGTAGCTTTGCTGTTAACATTTAAGTCTCACTGGTCAGAGCTTCCAGGCTTCCCACTGCCCTCAGCCCATCTGAACCTCATTCTGAGAACTAGGTTGTCTGGGCCAGCAGCAGCAGATGGGGCGGGCGACCTCTGACACACGGAGGATGCCTCTGGCTCTCAGTAGAAACCAGTGTGGACATCAGAAATAATGGGAAAGGAGAGTAATGAAGATCTTCATGTTTCTTTGGTTTTGCAGTTCTAGGAACAGAACCCACTGCCTTCACCCAGAGCTACATCCTCAGCCTTTTCATTTTTGAGCTAAGGTCTCCCTAAGTTGCCCAGGCTGGACTCAAACTGGCAATCTTCCTGCCTCAGCCTCCTAGAGTTCTGGGATTAAAAGTGTGCACCCCCACACCAGCTTTCTAGATATATTGTCTATTTTTATGGACTCACTTTAGCTGACCTGCCAAGCATCTTGTACCAGCAAGTGGAATTTCTGGAGCTAGATGAAGGAGCAACATTCCCACCACAGAACTCCGAGTGGCAATAAGAAATGGGAACTGCTGTCCTCCCAGGTCCATCCCTAGAACAGGTGCCAGGACCTTGAATATGTTCCATGGTAGGGTTTCTACTTCGTTGGTATTACAGAGCATCTAGGGACAGCAGAGCCCTGCCTGTGACCCCTTGGGCAAGGGTACCCTGCATTGAAGAAGCTCGCCCCATGGGGCAAGCCACCAACTGCTGGCTGTCACGCATCTCTTGTGAAAGTAAAGGAATTCACTGAGGAAGAGACTGTGATACAAGAAGTTAACAAGCAGAGAAGAATGAAATAAGAAATGAGAACGGCAGGGTGTGCAGGCATCGTAAACGCCCACAACTCGAGAGCAGTGACTCAGCTGTGCATGCAGATCCTTAGCAGAACTTCCATCTTACTTGGAATGGGCAGGGGCACAGGGGCACAGACTACACTGGAGAAAAAGTTCAGGAGCTGAAGGATCCTCAGGTACAACAGGCTCATGAGGAGGTGGCGCCTGCCCTGCGAGACTAGATTGGACCCTGACTGGGAGCACAGTGGACAGCTGGGGAGCAGAACATAAACCAAGACCCACAGGATGCTTGTGAAGGAGGCCTCATGGGACTGGGCTGGGAGCTCCTGGTACCTACCGGTGAAAAGGAAGCCTGGTGTCTGGAATAAAGGAAAGGATAGGTACAGAGCAGTACTCCGTCTTTTGGCTGTCTGGCAGCAGCTTAGGATGGTGAAGACTGACAGCAGGATGCTAGGCAGTGGCGGCAGGATATGCAGAGGGGGCTGTGGGAGCAAAGAAGGAGAGTCTGGAAGAAGCGGGGTCAGGCCAGCCTCAGCTGTAGACATAAAGACAGGAGCAGACATGCCGGGGCTGGCCTCTGTTCAGTGGGGGAAAGATGGAGCCAGTGGCCACTTCAAGATTCTTTTCCAGAGTACAGCCTTTGGACAGACAATGAAACCAGTCCAGGATCATGGTGGAAACACGCAGTTAGTTTCCAGCTGTGCACATTACTGTTTCGTGGTAGAGTTGCTGGTGATAAGTTTGGAACATGCCTGGCCAGCAAGCCCAGCTCTGCAGCTGTGGAGAAACCAGAAGCACATTTCCAGATACCCTATGTGGGCAGCCTTGGGCTTGATGGACTGTTTGTGACCATTGCAGGAGCAGAGCTTCCCAGCCTTGACCTGTGTTAAATTACCTGGAAATGTTTGGAATCCCAATCCTAGGCTCCACCTCACTCAGGGAGGCACCAGTGTTTTTAAGTGTCCCCGTGGGTTCCACTATGCAGCATGGCATAGCAGAGCCTTGCCATTTAGCCTGAAGTGTGTACCGCTGTCAACCTCCCACCCTCCAAAAGAGCAGCTTGCAATTTCTGAGGCTTGAGTTCGTCTCACTTGGCATTTAGCATGCATTCTTCTTTGTCTTTGTAAAGCAAAACTTGAAGTGCTGGGACTGCGGGTGTAGCTCAGTGTCTAAGTGCTTGCCTGGCATGCAAAAGGTGCTGGGTTCCATCCTCAGCACCACAAAAACCAGAAAATCTCTGCTGGCATGGTGCTAAGTGCTTACAGGAGCTGTATCATTTGCAGCAGTGGCCCCACGAGGTGAGGAACCAGAGTTGGGTCACAGAGCATACCCAAGGCCATCCAGCCAGTCCAGCCCTACAGGGCTCCCCAGCCCTCTCAGCACCACACGGGCTGTCATAGGCAAATTTTCTAGCGAGAGGATCTTAAGGCCACACTGTGAATCCAGGAACAGAACCAGTCAGAGATAGAACTGGGAGCCAGCAAGTTTAAAACATGCCGGACACTGACAGGCAGCCTCAGAAGTGGCTCCAGAGAACCTCAGCTTTGCTCCATCGTCAGGACCCCCTCTTCCACTGCCAGCTCGTGTGGATGTGAAAGCCCCTGCATTGGCCCTCACAGCAACGCCCAGATTCCAGTGGGATGAAGTCGCTAGGAGCAACAGCCTGGCCCAGCAAACAGCAGTTCTACAAAACTTCTGGGAGGGTTCTGCTTCTGTCCTGGTCCCATGGAGTTGAGGCAGCTGACATAAACCAAGACTGATGACGCCAGCAACAACCCCCGCATATCCACCACTGGAGAGAAAGGCATCTGGTGGGCCTGGCCCCCGGCCCCAGGTCAGCCGCTCACTTTCTGGACTGCCCACCCAGCTTCAACCAGCACCAGCTGCCTGCAGAAGTCCCACAGCACCCCCTGGCTGGATCAGCCATGCTGGGCCAGGAAACTCCTCCCACTGCCAACAACAGGCCCACAAAAGTCGAGTGTACATTGGTGAGTACCAGCAACAATGCACAAGAGCACCCCGAGACTGTCCTCCAGGGGGGATAGCACTGGGGAGCACAGCCAGCAGGGTATGGCTAACAGCGGCCACACCTGCTCCCACCTGGGGTGAATGGTGGAACCTGCCGCTCTCCCCTCGGTGTGAAGACAAGCTGTGCCCTACTCCCTGCACCCACTTCCCGCAGCCACTAATTCAGAGCATCCACAAGCTCAAGCTCAGCCTGCCAGGCCAGACCCCCAGGCATCTAACAGCCTCTGCCCACCTCCAGGCCCTCTGCTTGCCCACTGCTTTCCCCTCACATGATCCCCACGGAGTCCTTCCCTAAACTTGCCTCCCTCCCTGTGCATCACCTACCTGTCCCTCTTGCCCACAGGGACTCAAGCCCTCTCTGGCCAGCCTATGGGGTCCCACTCCTGGCTGAGGTTCCCATACGAGTAAGAGGTGCTGTGAGCAGGCCCAGCCTCCCAAAAAACAAACCCATTTTGCAAAATCCATTTAATTGGAATAAATAAAAGTCCCAGGCAGGGCAGGGCAGGGCAGGGCAGAGCTGGGCAGGGGAAGGAAGGATCCGGTAGGGGAACCCAAGCCCACCTGCCCACCCTTACAGCTCCATCCTGGCCCAGCTGCAGCCTACAGTAGAAGCTGTCACTGCACCACCCTGGTGTCTCTTGGGGCCTCAGGTCCACGTCTCTGCCCGCAGGGCCGTGGCACTGAGAGCGGTGGGGGTGCTAGATGGGTCCTTGCTGTCCCATCATTTGTCCCCAGCATCTGGAACCAGGGCAGGTGTTGCAACCTCCGCAGCTCTACCAGCCCTGCCAGAGGGAAGGAAGTCAGCAAGGGTCCAACAACGTCCCTCCAACCAGACAGGCAGAGCTGGACCTCCAAGTGGCCCATGCCTGGCATCCGTTCTCAGGAGATGCATTCTAAGTCCCTGACAAGACTGTTGGGCTCACCAGGCTGAGGACCCTAGAAAGTAGAGGACTGGCAGGGGGCTGAAGTGGAGACAGTACCCCCAAATTCACCGGATGTGTCTGCTTGGGGGAAGGGGCTATACCATACGAAATTGCTGCCTTCATGGTCCAAAGCAGTGAGACCCAGGCAGTTTCACAGGGTGCAGCCAACAGCAGCATGTACATATCGGACAGTCAAGGTTCCCTGGATTCTTTCTCCACACAGGGAAACTGAGCACAGAGCCTGGCAGCAACTCCATGGGGCCCAGAGGCAGGGGCCATATGCTAGACCTAGGGGTCCCTGAGGCCAGCTCGGGCCCCAAGTGTTTGTTCAGTAAGTGACAGAATCAGGACTTCATTGGGAGATGCTTTCAGACACCAAGTGCAGCGAGGGCCTTGGCAACCCACGGCTGCCTCTGAGTTTCTGCTGCTGGGGAAGAGCCCTGGTAGCCTCAGCGAGGACCTGCGGACATGAGCTCAGGGCCGGCCTCGGCCAGCTTCATTAGGCAGGTGCGGGTGGTGGGAAGAACCAGGCCCATGTGTGCACAGAAGTGCTCGCAATAGTGTGTGCCTGAGCCTGTGTCTCCTGCCAGGCAGTGGGAAATGAGAGACCACCCTCCCACTGTCCAGGCCACACATGCCAGCTCGACATGCCTCGGTCAGAAAGTTGAGCTGTCTCCCCTCCGCAGCTTTCACCTTAGGGAGCAGATGGCACCATGAGAGCAGAAAGGCAAGGCTGGAGTTATGCTGGCGAGAGGCAGGGCTCTTCCATCTCCACTTTCCCCTCCCTCACCGCCCACAGCTTCCCTCCCCAGTCCACCAGGAGGCAGCTGTCCCAGAGTGGGAGGCCGGCTGTGCAGCCCTGGCCCCATCCAGCCACACAGGCCTCAGCCCCTCGTTGGCCTTTTACCTGCTCCTCTCCTTCCTCTCATAGACAGAGTGAAGCCTGTTGATCAAGAAGATTTTGTCCTCCCCCTCCTAGAAAGGCCAGAAGAGAAAACAGAACTGACCTTGCAGAGCCAGCCTGTTCCACAATGTAAGTGGGGGAAATTATGAGCAATATTCAACACCACAAGTAGCAAAAAAGTTAAGTCAAGGAGGCACCAAAATAAAGAAAAACCGAAAGGCAGAAAATGGACATATTTGTGGCTCTAAGCTTCCTAGTGGCTAAAGTGAAAAGGGAAATGTAATCGGCTACAGTGAGGGCCCCAGAGACAGCTCCACTCAAATTTCAAACTGGCCCTGCCATTTACGACCTGTGTCTTGGGCAAACTGCCTGCTCTCTGGCCTCGGTGCCACCATCTGATAGAGGGTGATAATACAAGCTGGGGAGTTAGTGTACGTTTCTTGTGGCTGCTGTAACACATTACTATACAACTGTGTGGCTTAAAACATTACACATTTGCTTTGGGTCTGAAGGTCAGAAGACATAAATCCAAGGTGTCAGAGAGCTGCATTCCTCCCAGGGGCCCTAAGGGACCACCCACTTCCTGGCCTTTCCACCTCCTCCTCTTCAAAGCCAGCAATGGCTGATGATCCCAGCATCACAACACCAACCCTCCTGCCCTTGTCACTGATGAGGACCCTGTAATTATGGGCTCCTCCGACAGCGATAAGCAGCCTGCACCCAGCCCTTGCCACGGAACAGTGAGTTTGCAGGTCCCCTGCTCTTCAGGCAATGTGAAAAGCATACGAAGCATCTGGCACAGGATCTGGTGCACGCATGGGGGCACCCCAGGCTGTCAGCGGTCACCAGTCCGGGGCTGGGCAGGAGCACCTCTCCTGAAGCACAGAGGCCAGGTGGGCTGGTTCTGGGCCCCTGGTGACCAGGCTCGGCCCAGCAGCACTGCTGAGAACACCTATGAGGAGGAACCCAGGCTCCGCAGCAACACCAGCGTTCCTCCTCCCAGTGAGCTGCTAACAGTGACAGAGGCTGTGCGTTTGCTGGAACCCAGGGGCAGACACCACAGGTAGGGTCAGCCTGGACGGCAGTTTTTGCAACCCCAGAAAAGTGAAGGCAAAACTGCAACTGTCCTACCAGTACGCTAGAGCGGCACAAGACAGCCTCCCACCCACCAGCCTGCAGCGGACACCAGCACCAAACCTCTAAGACCTGCAGCTTGGCAGGGAGAAGTCCCAGCCCAGCCCTGGTGGAGAAACCCCAAAGGAGCCAAGCAAATGGCAGAAGGAAAGGACACCGCAAGGCGTACTGAGGTGGAGCCAGAGCCTCCATTAGGGACTGCTGTCACCAGCCCATTCCTACCCAGCAGCCTGCCCACCCCTGTGGACACAAAGCCTGGAAAGGCCACCCTCCAGTGTACCAGCACAGTCCCATAAGGGGGCCCGTCCGAGTGATCAGTCAGGAAAAAACCCATGTCCAGCTTGATGCAGCACCCAGGGGGCCAGTGGAGGGGGTTACCCTGGGAAGGGATGTCCTAATCCACTGGGAATTCCTTCCACCACTCATTCCTTTGGGCCAAGCTGACACTGTGCTGTAGAAAGTGTTACCTCCTCTCTTTACAAAATGTTTTAAACTGGGCATGGTGGTGCACACCAGTAATCCCAGCACTTGGGAAGCTGAGGCAGAATAATCACCACAAATTTGAGGCCAGCCTGGGATACACAGTGAGTTCAAAGCCAGCATAAACTACATAGCGAGATCCTTTAAAAAATAAAAATGGAGGCTGGAGTGTGGCTCAGTGGCACAGAGCTTGCCTAGCATGTGCAGGGCATGGGTTGGATCCCTAGCACCAAAACCAAAAAGGCAATAAATACATTTAAGATTTTTAAATAACTATCCCAACCCTTTCCACCTCACTTCCACCTCAAATGAGAGCACTCGCCAGGGTCCATGTGTCCCCCGGGAAGTCCAGTGTCTCAGAATCCTCCCAGACACTGTCTACACAGCAGGACCACACGCCCTAAAATAGCTGATGCTTCCTACAGGCTTGTCTCAGCAGGAGGCAGCAGGGGAGGCACTCACATTGCGGATCTGCTCCTTGAGGAGGCAGATGACCTTCCGCTGGCCTTTCACCACCTGGATGTTGAGGTAGATGACCGCCCTATGGGAGACAGCAATCAGGCTGGTGGCCTGGGCAGGGCTAGGGTGAGGCAGGACCCAGGACAAGATCCTGTGCCCCCTGCTCACAGCACCCACCCGACTGTCTTCGATCTGGAGGTCCCCACCCGCCCAGAACTCACAGCAGCAGGGCCGACACCAAGAAGAGGAAGAAGGTATTCTCCACCAGGTACCAGTGCAGCCAGGATAGCCACGGGGCCCCAGGTGACCCCTGCTCCAGGTGCCGCTTCCACACAGTGCCCGCCTCATACATGCGGTCCAGGCTCCGGAAGGGGCCGCAGGTGTCTGAGGGCTTCACCCTGGGAAAGGGCCAGGACCTCAGCACCACAGCCCCTCCACCTAGCTCCCTCCCAGCCTGGCAAAGGCAACCCCCGCAGAACCCTCAACCCAGGCCCTTGTAGCACTGTCCCAGCAAATCAGAACGGCACGGGTAACACCGGCCTCCCACCCACACCATCCCTGCATCCCCACCCGCCAGCTACTCACTGCCAGACAGCATAGCACAGGAAGATGGCAGCTCCCAGGAAGGCAGGGAAGCAGAGCAATGTGAGGAACACGGTGCTCATGTGTGAGGCCAACCAGGGCCTGCGCGGTGCCTGGCAGTTGGCCATCAGGCTCGCCTGGGGACAAAGCTGTGCTGTGCCACTGCCACCACACCCAGCCCCCAGGCACCCCTTCCTAGGACCTTCAAGAAGGAAAGCCAGGCCCTGAGGCTGGAGGCCAGGACAGGGACTCGGGACCACACTCCGCACACCCCATGGAACCACACCAGCCATGGCAAGAAGGCGACCTTCACAGAACCTAAGCACAGGCAGGAAAGAGCCAGCGAGGCTACTGCCTCTTCACAGAGGGGAGACTGAGGCTGGTGCCCAGGGCCACGCCACTCAGATGGGCTGTGCACCCAACACGACCCAAATGTCACCTCTACCAGCCCCCTGAAAATACTGTCCCCACCATGTAGCTGAGGAGGTGGAGGACCAGGGCGTGGGCCAGGGTCTCTAGTTCCCACCCTGAGCACACAGTTGAGAGGGCACAGCCTGCCCAAGATGGGGGGCCCAGGAGGGGCTGGCACTGTGGGGTTGGGAGGCTGCCAGCTCGGGCTGCCTAGGAGGTGCTCCTGCCTCCAGCAGGGCCTTACCTTCTTCACCTGGAAGAGGATCAGCAGCCTGAGGATCTGCACAGCAGGCAGCAGGGGCGAGAAGAGGACACCCAGCCTGGGAAGGCCACAGCCCGAGACAGCACACTCAGGCGACCGCCCAATCCCTCACCCGCTCAGAACCCACCACCTCTGTGGTGGAATGGGGCGCCGCCCACAGGCTCATCCCCCGGGCTGCTTTGGGGCAAAGGCAGGCAGAGCTCTCACCAGGTCAGAGTCTGTCCGTAAATGAGGTCCAGCACATTCCGCGCAATGTCAAACTCAGGCTTCCGCCTCCTGAGTCTTCTCTCCGAAATGAGCCTGAGAAAAGGATGACGTCGGCCACTTGGGACTGACCCTCAGCCCCACCTGGGAAGGCACCCGGGTGGGCCACCCACTTCTGGCACAAGTACCCAGACATCAGGAAAGACAGCAGCCATTCCGGGCCACCCAAGGGCTGGGGCCTGCAATCAGCACCCTCTCCCGGCCTTCTGGGCAGGAGAGACACCTGACTGATCACCAGGAGCAGCTTCAAATGCCGCACTGCTCTCTAAAAGCCTTTTAAGTCATTAGTGAATTCATACATTCTCAAAGAAAACACAGAAAGAAGGGAATAAGAAACACCCAAAGGGAAGGCCCCCTGCAGGACGCCTCTGCTTCCTCTCCGCCCTCCTCCTCCTGTTCCCTTTCTCCTTGACTGAGGCCAAAGCTGAGGCAAGACACTCGCTGCCACACACATCACCGGGAACCTTCACATCCTGTCTCTAAAAGCATCTCCTGGGGCTGACGACCTTTGACCTTTAGGGGCAGGATTCTGATGCACCCACGGGGGAGGCCCAGCCCTGCCCTTCCCAGGGGGTGCTCAGGAGGATGGGGCGAGGCCGTCCAGCCACCTGGACTTCTCACCTCCACACCAGCTCCCCGAAAAGTGAGTCAAGGAGCGCGAAGATGAAGTCCATCACCAGGAACCGGTACAACTCCTGGCCCACAAAGTCCTCCCAGCACTGGTCCTGCAGGGTGGCCACCCTGCGGCCCAGCCAGTGGTAGCAGAGCACACCCAGGATGGCCATCTTCAAGATCAGGTTCCTGGGGCGGGGGAGGAGGCTCAGGGAGCGGTGCTGGGGACAGCCTGGGAGCCCCACACCACAGCGCCGCTCGGCCACACACCTGCAGACAGCCAGGTACACCTCCAGCACCGGGGAGTCGTGCTGCTCCAGGGTGGCCAGGCCGCGGAACAGGTAGGGGGCAGCCAGGTTGAGGAGGCAGACAACCACGGGCAGGACCAGCAGCCCCGCCTCCCGGCCAGCAGCCGCGGGGCTCTGCAGGGGAGCGGGCAGGGCCGCGGTCACCAAGGGCAGCCCACTGCAAAGGGACACAGGGACCCCAGGGAGGGTCCCAGGAGGTGGGAGGGAAGCAGGGAGCTCACACCTTTGTCTCCCATGAGTCAAACCTACCCCAAGCCTAGCTTCAAAGCACACAGGAAGTAGGAGCAGAACCAAAACAAAGAGCAGGGCAAGAGGGCCAGGTGTGGGGCAGGTGGAAGGCAGGTGAGGAAGAGGCTGAAGGGGCTGCAGCCCAGCCTCGGGGAGGCTGTGGGGCCTGGGCTGACTCGAGTCCCGGGGCATGTTCCCTTAGGGCTGGCCAGCCTCCCTCCCTCGCCAGCCCCTGCTGCACCTGGATTGTGACCTCTGAGAAGGTGAGGACGGCCACTGCGCAGCCCAGCGCAACCCCCAGGCACAGCAGCCACACCAGCGCCAGCACGGTCACCTGCCGCAGCCGCCCACACACACTCTGGGGACTCCTGCGCAGCCGCCACTCGGCCAGCAGCTCCTGCGGGACACATGTACCTGTCACCTGCTCTGTGGGACGCAAGGAACCCACACAACACACGTACCCGACACACAGGCAGCAAGGACGGCAGCGGCTGCCCAGCTCTCTCCCCTGCCGGACTCGTCTCCCCACCCCACAGAGGGCATGCAGCCCCTACTCGCAGACCCAGCCTTGCAGGAGATCCCAGGGACCAGACCCCACTCAGCCTGTCTCCCGGATGTGGGTGGCCTCTAGCTGACCAGGAGCACCTGCAGTGCAGAGGACAATTGCCTCCCACAGAAGCTTCCATGAAAGCCCAGATCAGCCTGGCTCGCACTGTCACCTTGGGCAAAAGACTTGACTTCTGTGCCTCAGTTTCCTCCCGTCTTTACCCATGAAGCTACTATGGCCACTCTGCGCAGCTGGAGCCTGAGGACCTCAAGACAGGAGCAGGGGGGCTCTGGACCTTGAGGCCAGCTGGTAGAAGACACTCTCTCTCCCTCCCTCTGGACCACATCTGGCCACCTGGGCCTCCCTTCAGAAAGCGGAGCAGCCGGCCACGTCCTGGGGCAAAGAGGGGCCAGGCCGGCTACCACTCACCTTCAGCTGGGTACGAATATTGTCCCTCTGGAGGCGGGAGGCCCACTTCTGGGTCACCTTGTAGTCCCAGGAGCAAAAGACAGTGATGGCGTGGACACCCTTGGTGCTGCCCACCCGGTAGCTCTCCCCGAAAGAGTGGGACATGCTGGGGAGCAGAGACAAGGCGGTAAATGAGGAGCCCAAGGGCACAGACACCAAGGAAGAAGACAGGACAGCCCTGCCTCCTCCCACTCTCCTGCTGGCCCCTGCCAACCGGCACCCTCAGGCTCCTGCTGTGGACTACTGCCTCTCTAGGCCAGGAAGGAAGACAGGCCAAGGCATCATTTGCCACTGGCACCGCTGGCCGCTCCCACCAGACACAGCCTGGCAAATTCTGGGCTTATGCCAGGGCCCTGCATTGCATAATCCAGTGACCACAGCACACCCCCTTCTTTCCTGCCCCCTCGCTTAACCTCCCCATCCCACTGCTCCGGAAACACCAGGACAAACACCTCCAGAATCCTGGATGGGCCTGGCCCGTTCACTGCTCTATGTTCTCCTACGAACAGCAAGCTTCTCTGACGCAGGCATCGTACTTGGGAACCTTCCTGCCCTGAGCTGACACAGCAAACACTTGCGAATGCATGGGTGGGTAGATGAGTATTAGATGCATGGGTGGGAGGTAGATGAAGGATGCAAAGATGGGTGGATGGGTGGGTGGCTAAAAGGATGGGTAGAGGGGCTGGGGATTTAGCTCAGCAGCAAAGTGCCTGCCTGGCAAGCGCAAGGTCGTGAGTTCAGTTCCCGGTACCGGAGAAAAACCAAAAAATAAATAAATAAATAAATAAACAAATAAAAGGATGGGTAGATAGACAAATGGCTGGACAGACAGGTGAGTGGATGAAAAGATGGACGGATGGGTGAATACATGGCAAATGAAGGATGGAAGGATGATGGACAAGAGATGGGTGGGTACCTAGACAGACGAATAAAGGAGGAATAGAAGAAGGATGGCTAGACAGAGGAATGAAGGATGGATGGATGGATGGACGGCAGCTGTATAAACGAGTGAAGGGTGGACGAGGGGTGAATGGACAGATGGATGGGTGAAGGACGGATGGATGGATGGGTGGGTGGGAGGTGCTCAGAGCCAGGTCAGGTGGCACAGGGCATTACCTGTATACCAGGGTGATGCAAGTGATGAAGAAGGTTGCCCCCACAGTGAAGAGGTAGGCCACAGGCATATTGTACGGCAGGCTGCCCGCTCCGGGGCTGCACTGCGGGGAGCTGCATGGCGTGTTCAGCATGGTATTACGGTAGTAGCCATAGTACATGACGGTGTGGGTGAAGCAGCCCTATGAGGAGGCCGGGCCAGGTCAGGGGCTGTCCCCTCCCCGGCCCTCCCACCCCATGGGGGCACCTGGAAACAGCTAAGGGGAGCAGACATCTGGAGAAGGGGGAGCTGGCTGCAGGCCCCTGGAGTGCCAGAAGGGGGCGCCCTAGGGAGCTGTAACAAGTGAGGCAGAAGGGCCGAGGCAGGAGTGGATGGTGCCCCCAGGACTCCTCACCCCGCCTGTGAGGAGCTCCAGCCCTGTGCAGCGGGGGACAGGGTGCGCCTCAGGTGGGAAGGCAGCCTGCACGGCCACCAAGAAGGCCACCAGTGGCAGCAGCAGCAATGCATTGAAGGCCAGAAGGGTCTTGAGGAAGAGGAAGTAGGAGAGCACACTAGAGCCAAACAGGCCTCCAATCTGCTTCAGGGCATAGCGCCAGGGCTTCAAGGCGTGCAGGCGGGTGAGCAGTGCCAGCCCCAGGCTGTGCAGGGCCTGTGGGAACAGTGGTGGAAGGCTCTGAGACTGGGACAACAAGATGGTCATCCACAGGTACTCCCCGGCTCTAGCAGAGACTGTAGCCACACCCCCTGCACCCAGCCGCCCCGGCCCAGATCCTACCAGGGCGCAGGTGTATCGGAGCCGGCTGCAGTAGAAGACCCTGCCACAGCCCTGCTGGCCCCTCTGCTTCCCCCTTGGGATCCGGCTCTTCTCTCTGGAGACAAAGGCAGCTCTCAGTGCCTGGACCAGGGAGGGTCCAGCTACCTCCTGAGGCTGCTGACCCAGACTTGGGACCCTTCTCCCTGGCGACCTAGCTCAGCCCAGGAAGTGGGTGTCAGGGCCACAGGAAGCTGCAGAGCGCTCACCGCAGGAAGCGCTTCTCCTGCAGGCTCAAGGGCATCCCCCGGAGCATGTGGTCCCGCTGGGCTGCTGACAGGCCCTGAAGCTCCTTCACCAGGAGGCTTCGCTTCTCTGCAAGAGGGAGGAGACCAGTCAGTGCCCCGCGATGCCCAGCACCCCTCCCTGCTGGAGCAGCCACCATCCAGACACCGTGTCCACCCTGAAGCTGGCCGGGCCTGGGCACAGCCCAGAGTGCTCCTCCCTGCCTGTCCAGCTGAAGCCAACCCAGGCCAGCACCCAGGCCATCCTGGAGCTGCTCCCCAGCTCACGCCCACTCTTCCCAGTGGTCCTCCCTCCCTGCCTCCAACTGCTGAGCCCCAGAGCCCGCTCCCAGCTCCATCAGGTGCTCCCAGGAGTGTAGGAGGGAAAGGCCCTGGTGCTCAGGAGGCCCAAGGAGGGCACACTGGGTCCTCAACATTAACAGTACCAGGACCCAGAGGAGCAATCCCTCCTTTAAAAGGTTCGCAGCAAGCCAAGCACAGGGGACAACGCCACACAGGGGCCAGAGGTCAGCACAGCTCCTCCTAACCACAGCCGCCCTCGCCAAGCTCCAAGCCCGAAAGCATGGAGAGGCACTTCCTTTTGCTTCTACAACGAGGCTGGAGCTAGGTGCTACTTTAACCCCAATTTTGCAGATAAGAAGTGACCCTCAAGAAGCTGCAACACAGCCCAGATGGAAAAGTAAACAGGGAAACTGGAACATTCACTCTGACCCCAAAACCCACATCACCCTGCACTACCCCAATGCCACCAGCAGGGGGCCATGTCTCCCCTGCACTTCAGCCCCTCCACAGTGGTTTCCGAGCTGCTCAGACAAGCCTGGCACTGTCTGCCTCAGGGCCTTTGCACATGCCCCCTCCACTCTAGTCACTCCTCTAGGCTAGACTGGTTCTCAGGAAGCTCTCTTACAGGGCTGCTCTCCTGGCTGCCTTTATCTGCGCTGTAACCATCTGACTGCGTGTTCATGTGACTCATGTCTGTCTCACTGGCACACAGTAAGCAACATAAGAACTGCAGGTCTTCTGACCGCCATTGCATGCCAAAGCCCTGCCCGGTGTGGGCCACACGCCAGTGCTCAAGAACATCCATGGAACACACGCATCACCCTACTGTGTATAGCTGGCACGGGGCAAGCCCTTGGAGGCATCAAGACCCACCTTCCAGCAGCAGCAGGAGGAGGGGCTTCCTGGCTCTGCCACACCTGCTGCCACGCTGTCAGCCTCACCTGTGCCCCACCCAGCCTAGCCCACCACCTCGCCCTTCACAGGCCGTGGCTCACAGGAGGACTGGCTCACTCACCCTCCTCCTGCAGGGCTGCAGGGTCCAGCTCCAGGTCGTAAAGGCGGAGGCTGGGCCGGGCCGAGCACATCACGGGCCCGAGCGGCGGCCGGCTGCTCCTGCGCCGCATCCGGACTGTGCGGTTGTAGTACTGGGAGATGATGGCCCCTCGGCTGCGGCCTGGGAAGGCAGTGGGCAGGGGGCGGGGCCAGGCCCAATGTTCTCGGCGCCAGCCTCCCCATCCTCAGCCCTGCCCCAGGCCCTCTGGCCCCACTGCATTCCCAGGAACCTATTTTTACCCCTGGGACAATGACTCTGGAGTCATTTTTAGAAGCCAGCACAGAGCTGTGCTGGGCCCCTAGACAGCAGACAGGGAGGGCCCAAGCCCAGGTCTACAGACGCTCAGCTGAAATCCCAGGCCAACTCCGGGCTGACCTGAAGGCCAGTGTGAAGGCAGAGGGTCCGCTCACCAATGGTCCGACTGGGCATGCTGGCCAAGATGTTGAGTGTGGCCGTGCTGTAGACTGGGCCACCCTCGGCCCCCAGCAGGATCTGGTGACCGCTGGCTAGGAAGGAAGGAGATGCCTTACCGGGCTCCTCACCCGCCCTTCCCTCACCTGCAGACCCCAGAAGGGTCATCACAGCTCCCCTCCACACCATGCCCACTCACCTAGGGCCCCCAGGTTTCCTGCCACCTGCTGCAGCTCCAGGCCCTCCTCAGCCACCCACCGACTCTGCTCCTGAATGAGCTGGTGGAAGGAGTCATGCACCTCGCTCTCCTCATAGGGGCTGAGCTCAGGGCTGCGGGGCGGCAGGAGAAGCAGGGATGGGAATCCAGGCACAGCCTTGGCCCCAGCAGCCCACCCCCTTCCAGAAGGTCAAGATAGGGTGGTGCAAGCCAGCCCGCCAGCCCCCAGCCCCAGAGCACTTACTCCTGGTCCCCTGGGGTCTCAGGGACATCAAGAACTAAGGTTAGTGGCTGGGCCATGACCACAGTCCACATCCAGCAGATCTGCAGACCTAGGGCAGCTCACAGCCTAGACACGGCCTCAGGAGCTTCGTGTTGTCCATCTGCAAGGCAGGGACACAGTCAGCACCCACTGGGTAGCACACATGCAAATAGCCCAGGGCCCGGGAGGCCTAGGCTACCCACAGCCAAACACGGTCAGGACAGCAGTCCCTGGATAGACTGAGGAGGGGGAAGGAAGGGTGTGGGGCCTGCAGTTCCAACCCGTTTCCTCCAGGGCACCAGTCCCTGGGAAATGGGGAAGGGGAGTGCCTCAGATACTGACCTTTTCAGGCCCGTTCCCAGGCCACTGCCCCAGGAACCCTCCCTGTTGGAGAAAGGTCACAGCAGCTGCCTTCCCCTTGGCCGCCCTGTAACCCCAGAGCATTTCCTTCCCCCGAGCCCTTCCTCCAGCCTGCGGAAGTAGCAGACAGAAAGGCTCCCACACACATACACAGTACACCAAGGTCCCGAGCCCAGCGCAGCGCAGCGCAGCGCAGCGCAGCAGAATGGCCCTGGGGCGGGGGCTGGGCCTAAACAGTGCCTCTTTGTCCTGGCTCTGGGTCAGAAGGCAACACTGGAACCACAGCGCTTTGTCTGGGGCTCAGCCTTGGGGCTCACCCTACGGGAGTAGGGTGTGGACGGGAGCTGCCTCCACCACCCTGCTGAAGAACTCTGCCAAAACAGGACCTGGGCTGGCTGATCCTCCGATGGCACTGCCCTCAGCCCAGGAGGACTCAACATCAGGACAGTGGCTCCTTTCAGGGGAGTTCCCTGGACGTGGCACAGTGCCCACACAAGGCTCTGCGCAATCCAAGCCGCTGCTCTGGGGAGAGGAGAACCAGCCTGGAGCTGGCTTGGGAAGTTGCCACGCGAGGCTGGGGGCGCCCATCCACCCCTGCAGCTGCGCCCCAGCCCCCGGCCTCCCCGACATCCTCCTCCACCAAGGCATGCGAGATGCCTGGAGGCGGAAGCCTGGGATCTGCGGTTCCCGGGGCACCAAGGACTTCAGCAGACAAGAATCACAGCCCCCGCCCGTCCCAAACGAGGCCAGGGCGGCGAGTTTCCGGGTCGACGGAGTTTCCGGGGTGCAGCATTCCTGAGCCAGGTGGGGAGGGGCCACCCGACGCTATCCGGGAAGGGCGCCACCCAGCCTTGCGCCCAGGGTCCCCCTCGACGCCCCCAACTCCCTGTCCTCCGTGGCAAACCCGGAAGGAACTCGGGCGCCAAGAAGCCCCAGGAAACACGGTGGAAACAAGCCCCACAGGGACCCGGCCGCTCACCTGGGAGGCAGTGGGAGGAGGGGCCGGCGGCGCTCGCCCGTCCCCGCGAGGGCCGGGAGCTCGGGAGCTGCGGTCGGGCTTCTCCACCCGAGGGACGGGACCGAGGAAGGGCCGGGGGCGACTGCCGGGCGGAGGGCGCTGCACCGCCCGCCCACGTGGCGGCGCCTCGACGGTCACGTGACCCGCCGCGGCGGCGCCGCCCCTCCTCGGGCACAGGCGGCGGCTGTGCCCTCTGCCCGCCAGCTTCCTTGCATCTAACCCCAGTTCTCCGAGCGAGCTCCCGGATTTGTGCGGTCTCTGGTGGAAGCCCACGGGGTTTTGTGAGACTCAATTTCCCCAAGTTTCAAAAGGGGACAATAACTCCAGACCTCCCCACTTCCCGGGAGCAGAGACTGCCAAATGAGACATAGCTGCGAAGCGCCTCCCGCAGCGAGCCTTTCCGCACCGGGCTGGGCAACCCCTTCCTTCCAGGCCTCAGCGGATGCCCGCCGCGCCCCACCCCCGCCGCCCGGCCCGGTTATCTTCCCCTCCCGTGGGGCTCCGAGGCGTGCTTTGAGTTGTTTATCTAGCAGGAGTTGAGGGCTTCCAGTGTGCTAGGTGGGGAGGAGGGGCGCCACGGAGGGCAGACCGACACTTTGTGAAAGTCCCCAAGGGCTCCGCAACAGCCAGGAGACAGACACCGAACCTAGCGCACAGAGACCAAAACCGCGGCTGGGAGGTTCCTCCGTCTCAGACGCCAGCCAGAGCATGAGCCTTAGCCTCCTGGCAGCTCTGCGAGGACACGATTTTGAGACCCCCGTGCCACCAAGGACCCGAGGAGGGGGAGGGGACGCGAGGCGGGCGGCTTGACTGAGCAGGAGGCAGAGGGGGTCAGGACCTTGCTGGAGCGGCGAACCGGGAAAGACAGGCTGCAGAAACAGAGCCCATGAACTACAGGAACCGGGTCTGGAACGTGAAGCGAGACGTGGATGGAGGGGCTGGGGCCCCCGCTTCTTTGCAGCTCTCAGGAGGTCCTCCAGTGGGGAACCTTAGGCTGCTTCTCAGTACCTTGGCGTGAAGCTCTAGCACTGCCCGGCCACTGCCACCCCAGGTCCCCTGGCACACAGTCCCCTCCGTGCACACCCACACTGGACTTGGCTTACCCCAGGCCCAACCTGAAAGCCACCTCTCCAGTTGGAGCATGTGCCATCTCTACTGACGCTGGCACTGTGACTCTGTCCCCTGCTCCCCCTCCCGCTGTGTGCCGGCATCAGCACCAAGCTTGGGGCCTGGAACCAGGAGGCATGGGAGGCAGAGAAGCTCCAGGAGAACTCAGAGCTGGAGTGACCCAGCCCTGAAGGAGGTGCACAGGGCGCAGGGAGGCCGGACTACGAGGTCTCCCAGGGCATCCAGGGCCAAGGAATCGGCCACCACGGTTCCTAAATGTCAAACGTGGAGCCCTTCCCGAGCACTGTCACTGGGGCCCGGGTGTAAGAGTGGAAGGGGGTGCAAGCCACAGAGGCGGGAAGCTCAGAAATAACTGGCTTTGAACACCAAGCAGCCAGTGCAACGGAGGACCATGTGTCGCTATCGCACTCTCCGGGCTGACCTGCTGAAGAAAGATAAGGGGCGCGCCCTGCATCCCGCCGCCTTCGCCCCGCAGGGCCAGGTCCCCAGGTGGACAGCAGCCCAGCCTGGGCAAGCCACAGCTCGGACCTGGGGCCTGTGGGACACCAGAGGGAGAGGAGGTGGACCCCCACCCACTCACACAAGGCTAGCAGCCTACCGGCATGCGCCTCTCACCTGCGCTGCCCGCACCCCCGCAGCCCAGAGGAAGTGCCACTCAGCTTCAGTTAGAGCAGAGGAAACTTTGGGGAAGGCCAGGGTTCCTGTCACGTGACCCCACCCTAGCTCACTCACAGTCCCCTCCGCCTTGGTGTCTGCCGAAGGGGCTCCCTCAGGAATTGGCGCCTTGGTCCCCAGGTGAGCTGGATGAACTGTGCAGAGGAACTGTGGGGTGGAGGAAGTGAGGGCAGGGAGTGTGGGGGAATTCTTAGCAGCTGCTGGAGCGCCACTGGGGTCTCTTCCTTTCCCCCAGTGTAGCCACGCCTCCTCATCTGGGTCCCAGGAGGGAACCTAAGCAGTCCGGGCCTGGGGCACTGGGCCACAAGAAGGAAGACAGGAAAGGGCCCCAGCACCTCCACAGCTAGGGTGCTGCAAGATGTGAGATCCCAGGAACCTATGAGGTTTGGGGCCAGGTGTTTTCCCAGAGAGCAAATAGGCACATGGAGAAGAGTAGGACTTGTTTTCCTCTAAAGGGTGACCCCCATGCTGGGCATGGTGGCACACGACTGTAATCCCAGCACTTGGGAAGCTGAGGCAGGAGGATTGCTGCAAGTTTAAGGCCAACCTGGGCTACAAAGTGAGCTCAAGGCTAGCCTGAACATCATAGCAAAACCCTGTCTCAAAAAGACAAAAACAAATAAATAAATAAATAAAGGGTGACCTCCAAAGCCTATGGCGCAGGTGGCTGTCCTTGTGACAGCCCCATCTCCCTACACTCTGTAGGCCTTCACCCCACTTAATAGATAGACAGACTGAGGCCCTGGCCTGGTGTCAGTGTTGAGGTATGTAGCATGACTGAGCTTGGATCCCTACTTTCTTTTCATTTCTGGGCACATCAAGACCAAGACCTTGCAGCTTCCCGTCTGGTTCCCGTGTCCCTCGTCCCTCCTGAGAGCAGAGGTTGAACCCGTGCCCCACCCCCTACCACCAGGATGTTGCACCAGTGGTCAGCACCGTCAGGGCAGACCCCAAGGGGGCCAGGACCGCCGCCAGAGGCTGAGGAGCTCTGGGAGCAAGAGATGGAGAGGCTGCGTGCCTCCCAGGAACCGCTGCGCTCACTGCCCTATGCCATGACGGACAAGCGCTTCATCCGGTGGGTGCCCAGCAGGAGCACGGGCCGAGGCCTGGTGTCGGGGTCGGAGTCCGGGAGGACGCCCTGTGGGATGCAGGTGGGAAACCACAGGAGATTCCCGGGCCTGGGGTGGGCAGGTGAGGGCTCAGGGCCTTCCCATCACACCCCATCGCAGGCAGATGCGGGAGCCCAAGGGCGTGGAGATGACCTGCTGGCAGCGGTGGCGGCAAAGACAGCAGACCTTGGGACGGCGCCTGAGGGAGGCGGCGCGGCGGCTTGCCTGGGGCTTCGGGCTCTGGGAGGGGGCGCTGTATGAGATCGGGGGTAGGTCCCCAGTCCCCCATCTCCCCTCTCTGGAGTCCCACTGCCCAGCTTGGAAAGCCAGGCAGGCACCATCCCACCCCTACAGACCAGCCCCTCCATCTTGGCGCATCTGCGCCCTGAGTCTGGTTCCAGCTTTGGTGTGTGACAGCACCCCCTGGTGGCCCTCAGAGGCACTGCTCCTTCTGGGCTGGGCAGCTGGGGACCCATATCCCATGGCTCTGGGAGTCCCAGCCCGGGCCCTGACAGCTTCCCTCACTGTCTGGCCTTCTTTATACAGGCCTCTTTGGCTCAGGCATCCGGTCTTACTTTACCTTCCTCCGCTTCCTGCTGCTGCTCAACCTGCTCACTGTGCTACTGACTGCCAACTTCGTGCTGGTGCCCCTCGCCTGGCTCCAGCCCCCAGGCCCAAGTCCCACCCTGAACTTCAGTGAGTGATGGGTTACCCTTGACCCTCCGGGCCCCAGCTGAACCTTGCTTATGGCCAGCCCTGGACTCTCCTTGACCCTGCCTGTGGCACAAGAACTGTCATGGCTGGGCTACAGAGTGGGAAGGCCAGGGGTCACTCCTTCCTTGGCGACCCTTCCTTGTTCCGCTCTCCTTCAACAGCCCTCCAGTGCCCCGGCAGCCACCAGCCCCAGACTTACGCTCCAAGGTTCCACAATCAGCTTTGGAATGTTTTAACTGGCAGGGTAAGTGGTCCCCAGGGGCAGGAACCCCCTCTAAGAGGTCCCGCCCCCTAAGGGTGTTGTGGCTTCTAGGGCCAGATCTTAACGCAGATTTGTGGGACCAGTGATGCGGTCAGCGAGAGGCGTGGCAACTGCACAGCACAGCCTGTGGCCCTTGGTTCTCATGGGTGGGGGTGCGAGGGACACGCGACCCCTGGGATAAGCAGCTCATCCCAGGAGGTCACCAGTGTGGGCTCCTGTGTCTGCGTCCTGCCTCTGACTCCTCAAAGCTGGGTGACCAGGTGGCCCAACCTCTCTCTGCCACTGTAAAATGGGGATATTTCCACCTAATTGGGTTTTTGTGAGGAGGGCGACAAGTTCATGACGGCAAGTGCTTAGCATGGACCTGGTACTCGGTCCATGCCCAGCTGTCCTCGTCGTGGTCCCCAGGCCTTCAACAACACCTATCTCTTCTATGGTGCATACCGGGCGGGGCCTGAGAGCAGCTCTGCGTACAGCATCCGCCTGGCCTACCTGCTCTGCCCACTGGCCTGCCTGCTGCTCTGCTTCTGTGGGACTCTGCGGCGGTGAGCACAGTCTGTACCCTGCCTGGTTCCCAGGGCATCCTCCTTCCATGGCAGGGGCTCCCCATGTTCACAGACAGGTCGCTGGCCCTGCTCAGTAAGACTTACCACACACGTACGTCCCCAGCCACGTATCTCAGGAGAGGGGCCACGACCAGGCTGGGGGGTGGAGACCCCACAGCTGTGTCTGTCCCCAGGATGGTGAAAGGGTTGCTGCAGAGGCCGGGGTTGGACCAGGACTACAGGGTGCCCCTCAGTGCCAAGGTCTTCTCATCCTGGGACTTCTGCATCCACGTGCAGGAAGCAGCCACCATCAAGAAGCACGAGATCAGCAATGAGTTCAAGGTGTGTGCAAGAGTGGGTGTGATCAATGTATAAGTGTGTGCCTGTGCACGGGCATTTTACCGAGGGAGCATCGTGACTGTGTACATGTGTGCAGGCGTGTAAGAACATCTGTGTGTGATGGTGTGAGTGCCGGCATTGTGACTGGGGGGGGTGAGAACCCATAAGCATGGCTGAGCGTGACAGGAGCGTGAGCGTAGCAGTGCTGCAGGACCTCCCCCACCCTCCGGCCTCAGGTGTACCTGGAGGAGAGCCGCCGCCGCCAGCAGGTGCAGCGGGACACTCCCACCCAGCGCGCCTGCCGCCTGCTCAGCTACCTGCGAGTCAATGTCCTCAATGCGTTCCTGGTGGTTGGGGCCATCAGCGCCATCTTCTGGGCCACTAAGTACTCACAGGACAACAAGGAGGTACAGGCAACTGGCGTTCCCTTAATCCTGGCCTGAGCTGAGGGAGGAGATGTGTGACTTTGTCCACTCCAGGCAGGAAACTGGGCTCAGAGAGGCCAAAGCCATCGTGACCATGGGTCATGCCCAGGTCAGATGGGCTCTCGCTGTGGGTGTCCCCAGCTGTGAGCTCACTGATCCCAGTCCTGCCCCTCACTACACCTCGGGCTGTACGGGTGGGCAGCTGACAAGGCCTGCACCGGTGCCCTCTCAACCCGTGGCTCCCACAGGAATCCCTATTCGTGGTGCTTCAGTACCTGCCCCCTGGGGTCATCTCGCTGGTCAACTTCCTGGGTCCCCTGCTATTCATGTTCCTGGTCCAGCTGGAGAACTACCCTCCTAGCACCGAGGTCAACCTCACCCTCATCTGGTGAGCACCCCTTGGGGGCCATGTGGGCACAGGGGAGGGGTCTTGCTGCTGTCTTCGTGGTCACTTGGCACCAGGGGTCCCAAGTGGGAAGAACCCCGCATTCACAGGCAGGTACTCCTAAGACACTGGCCTTGGGGGCCCAGGTTTGATACCTTCCAGTCCTCACCGCCAAAAGAAGCCACAGTCTGGACCAAGTGCTGAGGAGGAGCAAGGGGCTGTCTCACTGGGAGTCTTGGGAGCCAGTGTCACACACTTGCAAAAGCCAATCACACGGGACACACAGCTTCCACATGGCCCATGGGCCTTAGCCCTTTACTGTGACAGCCCTGATGTGATCTGCACACTCTGAGCATCCCCATCCCCAGGACACGGAAGCTTCAGGGGTGAAGTGCCCCGGCCAAGGTCAATCTCACGGCACTTTCAGGGTGCAGGTTCAAATGCAAGTCCTCCTCCCGCGCAGGCCCTGCCACTGCTTGTCTGTTGGCCTTAGCACCGCTGCAAGCCCAGCTCCAAGCTGCTCCCCACCCCGAAATCCTCAGAGGTGTCCTCCTCCTCCTCCTGCCACCCCCACCCACCTGCTTCTTGCCTACCTGCTTCTCCCAACTATAATTCCCTTTGAAACTTTGCCCTTTTTTGGCATTATTTGGGATTGAACTCAGGCCTTCACACTGAGCTACATTCCCAGCCCTTTTTATTTCATTTCATTTTATTTTATTTATTTTTGTCTTTTTGAGACAGCATCTTGCTATGCAGTTCAGGCTGAACTTGAACTCACTTTGTAGCCCAGGAGGTCCTCAAACTCACAAGATCCTCCTGCCTCAGCTTCCCAAGTGCTGGGATTACAGATGCACATCATCACATTTGTGTGAAGCTTTTTGAATATGATATAAGTGCACACATGGTAAAAAAAAAAATTCAAAATGCTCAGAGGGATGGAAAGTTCTCTTCAGGTTGTATAAATCTTTCACCTTTTACTAAATGGATGAAAGGTTAAAAAAAATAAGCTCCCACCCACCCCCGCCTCCTAGCCTCCCTCAACAGAACCATTGCTCCTGGGCTTTTTAACCCTATGTAGGCACTGGAAGTATCCACCCTTGCAGATAATGTGCATGCGGTGGTTTCTGGCCATCAGACCTATGCAAACCTCTGGCACGTTATTCAGAGAGCACACGTGGTACAGGCCTTTCTGTATGAGATGCTGTCGGAAAGCGAGGACATGAACAGGCGGCAGGAGAAGTGGGGATGTCAGCGCTGGGCTGTAACTCAGTGGTAGACACTGGCCTAGCAGATGTGAGGCCCTGGGTTCCATCCCCAGCACCAAGAAGAAGAAGAACATGAAAAAGAATCAAAGGCCCGGGGATTTAGCTCGGTGGCACAGCGCCTACCTGGCGAGTGTGAGGTCACAATTCCCGGTACCAAAAAACAAGAGAAAGAATCAGAAACTGAGTTGGAGGAAGGATGGCCAGACAAAGCAGTGTTTTGCCAAACTGATTTCAAAGCAGAACTCTTTTCTTCTGAATCATCTGGAGACTTGGATTCTAGGGAAATACTTTGGAAAACGGTGCTGTGGCTGAGGCAGCCTGAAAGGAGACTGGGCTCTGGATTTAGAGGGGGTGGGGCCCAGGAAGACATGATCTCCTCGCCTCGTGCAGATAACAGCCATACCCGTTGCCTGGGTACAGCCCTGCAGCCTCATACCTGGACCCAGCCCCAACACAGTCCCTGCCCCCAGGTGTGTGGCGCTGAAGTTGGCCAGCCTGGGGATGTTCTCCTTCTCTCTGGGTCAGACCGTGCTGTGTATCGGCAGAAACAAGACCAGCTGTGAGACCTACGGCTACAACGCCTGTGACTATCAGGTAGCTGTTGGCCCGACTGGGGCCTGTCCCTCCCCTCCTCCTCTGCAAAGCCCTGCCTCACAGCATGCAGAGTCCTGTCCCTGCACCGTTAGTCCCTGTCCAGGACTCACCGCTGTGAGCAGCTGTGAGCAGAGCCACATGCAACAGCACACCCCCGGGGGGCCCCTGCACCACACCGTGCAGTGTGGCCATCCTGGGAGGCAGTTCCTGCTCTAACTGCCATGGAGTCTTGTCAGACTAGCCAAGCTCCTGTGCTACAGGATCTTCCCAGTGCCGGGCCACTTCCCAGTGGTGCATGCCTGTAATCCTAGCACTTGGGAGCCCTTGAGTTGGGAGGATGGCCGTGAGTTCAAGGCCAACCTGGGCTACATAGTTCAAGGCCAGTCTGGACTACACAGTGAGACCTTGTCTCAAAAAACACAACAAACAAGCAAACAAAAGATCCTCCCAGGGTGGGTAAGGCATGGGCAGTGGGGGGGCAGGATGGTGATGGGCACCTCACTCTGCACCCCAGTGCTGGGAAAACTCAGTGGGTGAGGAGCTGTACAAGCTGATCATCTTCAACTTCCTCCTCACGGTGGCCTTCGCCTTTTTCGTCACCCTGCCTCGGAGGTGAGCCAAGCAGAGGGAGAATGGGGTGACAGGAGTGTTGGGGGACTTGCTGGTATGATGGTCCATGGCCCCCACGTCCTTCTTGACCGGTGGACACCGGGACCCTCCCCACCCCAGGCTGCTGGTGGAGCGGTTCTCAGGCCGGTTCTGGACTTGGCTGGGCCGGGAAGAGTTCTTGGTGCCCAAGAACGTGCTGGACATCGTGGCGGGGCAGACGGTCACCTGGATGGGCCTCTTCTACTGCCCCCTGCTGCCCCTGCTCCACAGCGTCTTCCTTTTCCTCACCTTCTACATCAAGAAGGTCAGGCTGCCTGCGGGGAGGAGCATGGGCCTTGAGCCCTGGGCCTTCCCTCCGCGAGCCGCACTCACGACCCCTGCTTTCCTTGCCGCTCCCCAGTACACCCTCTTGAGGAACTGCAGGTCGTCCCCTCGGCTCTTCCGCGCCTCCAGCTCCACCTTCTTCTTCCAGCTGGTGCTGCTCCTAGGCCTGCTCCTGGCAGCGGTGCCCCTGGGCTTTGTGGTCAGCAGGTGAGGGGGGAGAGCTGGAGCAGGTGCCGGTGGGCGTCCCCCACCCCATGTGACCCTCACATGCGCGCTCCCCATCTCTCCAGCACCCACTCCTCCTGGGACTGTGGCCTCTTCACCAACTACTCAGCACCCTGGCAGGTGGTCCAGGAACTGGTGGCTCTGCGGCTCCCGCCCCCTGGCCAGCGTGCCCTCCACTATCTCAGCTCTCACGCCTTCGGCTTCCCCCTCCTCATCCTCCTCAGGTGCCCACCACGGTGGCAGGGACCAAGGGAGGGGCCGCTGGGGAGGGTGTCCTGTCCTTTTCCCCAGCCCATCTCATGGGACACAGAAGCCAGGGGAGGGGAAAGGGAGCTCAGGGGAGCAGGACCCAGGCACCAGGTGGGAGCCCTAAGGCTGGGAGCCTGGGGCGCCTCCCCTGTAAAGCGGACCCTATGGCCCCATTCCAGGATGCCCTGGGGTCTCTAGGTCCACTGAGGAAGCCTAGTACCTTGCTAGAGGACTAGGGCAGAGGGTCCCAGGAGGAAGCTAGCTCCAGTAAAAGTCGTGCAGAGAGAAACCCCAGGAGCACGGCATTTTAAGGAAAGGAGGAAGTCGGGAGGGGCGCCCATGGTCGGAGGGGTGACTGACTGTGAATCCCGTCTGCCCCAAGCCTCATTCTGGTCGTGTGCTGCTGCCAGTCCCAAGCCAATGCAAGGGCCATCCATATGCTCCGGAAGCAGCTGGTGTGGGTGAGCGTCTGCTGGGCTTGGGGGACACCGATCTTTAGGGAGTGTGGCCTGAGATAGGTCGGTGCTCGGCTCGTGGGGTGTAGATGGGGAGGGGGAAGCAAAGAAGAGGATCCTCAGTCGAGGCCAGGGTCCTGGATCGGGACCTGATAAGAACATGACCTTAGGTTTGGGGTCCTGCCATGAGGGTGTGGCCTCGGACCTGCAGTTCTCTGATGGGGATGGCTCTGAAGAGCGTGGCCTCTGGTTGACGGGGCGTGACCTGGCGTGACCTGGCGTGACCTCTGGTTACCTTGGGGGCAGGACCCTGGTCTCTAGTTAGGGGCGGGTCTTGTCGGGGGCGTGGCACCGAGCCTGGTGGGCGTGGCCGCTGCTACCCAATCAGCAGTCTTCCAGTGGCTCCGGCAGCAAGTCTCCGCTGGCAGTCGGCCCCTTTCTTTCCTCAGCAAGTCCAGGAGAAGTGGCGCCTGGTGGAGGAGCTGTCGCGGCTGTTACAGGAGCCAGGCTCGAACGAATCTCCGATCCCGGACTCCCCTCACTTCCGAACTTCACGCCCAAGGTCCTTCGGCCCCGGATTCCCCAGCCCAGGCTCCCCGGGTCCCAGGGACCCCGGCAGGGACTCTCCCACACAGACCCCGCCCTGGTTGAGCTCCTCCTACCCGGGATCGCTCGGTGCCCCGGCCCCCGGCCCCCGGCTCCGCTTCCCCAGCGGCGCGGAGCTGTTGCTGTAGCACCACTCGGCGTGCCTCACGGCTGGACCTGGAGCACGCACTTTCTCACCCTGGCTCCTGGAGAGGACCGTCTTCACACACACCGACAGGGCTCCCCAAAGAGGTCCGCACATCCCCAGGGGCAGCAGGAAGACCATATGAGAATTTCTATTTTTTCATCTCATCCCTTTAAAATTTCTATTTTTTACTGAATATTTTATAGTGCACGTAATACATTATTATAGTAACCCATAAACACAATTCACAAATAATGCGTCTTTTTTGGAGTGCTGGGAAGTTGCTTACCAAAGGGCGCCCTCACAAAGCTTGGAGCCCTCTCCCGTGGGAAGGGGAGAGCTGGCCTCCACTCCCCTTGAGCGGCCCTGTGCCTCCAGCTGCACCCACTCAGCCCTTCCACGAGTGGACCGGAAGCTCGCAGAGGTCAGGGCCACAGCCAGCAGGGGCAGAGCTGGGGTTTGAATCCAGGCAGGCGGGCTGCAAAGCCATATTGCCTCAAAAGGGGCTCAGAAGCATTCCTGACCTTATGCGGGCAGAATCACTGAAGTCTGGGTGACTGGGGAGGTGTTGTTCTCTGCTGCTGTGGTGGACAGCCCATAGCAACAACGGTGCCCTCAGAACTGGAACCCAGGTCCATGCCATATCTTATGCAGAACTTGTCCTCCCAAGCTGCGAGGTGCCCTGCCAGGGTCTGAGCAGCATCAACAGGCCTGCACTGTGACACATTGAGTGCGTCTCAGCAGGTGTATGACCTTCAGGGCTGGGATGTGGGCCGCGGTGTGCCCTGGATTCCTGACCTGCTCAGTGACCCTTTCCTGAGCCTGCTGCCCCTGCCCCACGCTTCGGTGACTGGGCGGGCGGGAGGCAGGCAGCAGGCAGGGTGTCAGGACTTTTAAAGTGCCCAGGCAACTCTCACAGGGAGCTGGCATGAACTATAAAGAGGAAAGGGCAGAAGAAATCCCAAAACACGCTTGCAAAGCCTGCAGCTATGCCAGGGGACCAGCGCCTGGCTGATTCCCGCCTGGGCAGATATCATCTAAGTGGCTCTGCCTGCCACCCTCAGGGCAGGAGGCTTCTCATCTGATTCTAAAGCCTCAACCAGTCCAGCCCCTCTTCACTGACCTAATCTCATTGGCCTGGCCTCCCATGACCACCAGGGGTCACTACGGAGTAAGTGCTGCTGAATGCTAGGTCCTGTTTCTGTTTTTTGTTTTTTTATCTTTTTTGATTAATTTTTTTTTTCTTTTTTTGGTTTTTTTCCAGTACCGGGAATTGAACTCACAACCTCGTGCTTGCCAAGCAGGCGCTGTGCCACTAGGCTAAATCCCCAGCCCCCTTTTTATCTTTCTTGAGACAGGGTCTCGCTACGCAGTTCAGGCTGGCCTTGAACTCACTTTGTAGCCCAGGCTGGTCTCACAACGATCCTTCTACCTCAGCCTCCTGAGTGCTGGGATTACAGATGTGCGCCACCATGCCCGGCAAGGTCCTGTTTCTGGAGGTGGCAGTGAGACCATGAGGGAAACAGGAGCTCTGGGAAAGGATCATCAGAACTCTCCAGGTGGAATCCTGCAATCCCGGCCTCCCATGTGGGCTATACCCCAGCCCTTCTTATTTTTATTTTGAGACAGAGTCTCCCTAAGTCACTAACGGCACCAGCTTGTGATCCTCTTGCCTCAGCCTCCTGAATAGCTAGGATTACAGGCATGGGCCACCATGGCCAGCTATCTGGGCCTTTTATAATGACTGTCACATCCTTTCATGAAAAACCTTGAGAGCCAGCCTCATGCATGCCCATGTGCTCTATAGGAGCCATGAAGAAGACAGGCCTAGTGGCAGGAATTCACTAAATGCTGGCGCTGGGGTGCTCATCTTAGAAGGGGGAAGAAGCCATGCTTCTCTGAGGGCCTGAGAAGATTCAGGGAGTGATTAAAAGTCCTGACAGCTGGGTGCCCAGAGCTACCCTCAAAGCTGCCATTACTATGGGGTCCCTCTTCCCCACCCAGCCCTAAGGGGCCCCTGCCTGTACTCTGTGGCCTCCCCAGGTCTGCTGGCCAAGGGACCCTTCCAGGAACAGGAGGACACGAGGAAACACAGACACACCCATAAGGCCTTTGTAGAGGAGACTGGCCCACAAAGGGCAAAAATAATAGAACATAATACGTATTGGGGGCCTGGAGAGTTTGGGGAACACCCGGACTCCATAGAAGGAACCTGTGAGTAATCTCAGGGGTCACTGCAGGGGCATCCTGACCAGCCATCCCCCTCCCTGCTGGCTGGGGAGAGACCCAGCCCGAGACAGGAGGGCCAGAGCAACCAGAGGACCAGGAAACAGGTGGTGCCTAGGCAGGGACCATGGTGCAGCAGGAAGTTGCCTCATTTCACCAAGGCCCAGGGAAGAGGTCCTGGGCATTACCCGGGACTCTCCTGACTCTGGCCCCCAAACACACTGACGAGACTCCTCGGAGATGCCGGAGCCCGGATGGGGAAACACGAGTGTCTGGGCCTCTGGACACCAGGCTGGCCACAGCCTGAGACCCCTCTGGAGTCTCCTTTCAGTCCTCTCCTCCTCCCACTCCACTCCCAACAGACCCGAAGACAGGCTTTGGAAGGGAATTTTGCTGGGAATTAAGAAAATGATACACGTGGGCCAGGCGTGGCGGCACACGCCTGTAATCCCAGCACTCGGGAGGCTGAGGCAGGAAGATCATTGCAAGTTTAAAACCAGCCTGGGCTACAAAGTGAGCTCAAGGCCAGCCTGAACTGCATAGCGAGACCCTGTCTCAAAAAGACAAAAAAAAAAAAAAAAAAAAAAAAAAAAAAAGAAAGAAAATGATACACGTGCATTGAGGCTGCAGGGGTAGCAGGAGGACACAGGCTCCATACCCAGGGCACACGTCAGGACCATGAGGGGCAAGTGACAGGAGCAGGGGCCAACACCACGTGACTTCCTGACACCTATACCAGCTCTTCCTGCTACTCTCCGGCCAGCAGAGGTCGCCCTGCAAGCAGCTTCCTGATGCCACCAGGCACTGAGAGAGGGCCGTAACTGGCCTTCGGTGGGTCAAGTCCATCCCTGGGCCGATAAGCTATACCGGGGGCAGGGAGTAGGTTCCCTGGACAGGCTCCCCTGGAAACAATCAGTTGCCTGGCTCAGAGGACATCAAACAGGAGGAAGCAGTCAAAGCCAGTGATTCTTTCACAGACACCAAACTTGTCCTGAAAGCCCTTGGCTTGTGTGGCAGCCTCAGGCTGAAGGTGGCAGTGGCCCGCTGTGGAGGTGGCAGGACCTGCTCCCTCCGCCCTGCATCCCTCGAGCCCTGAGTGTCCGGCCCTGGCCTGGCCTTAAGCCTCTGAGAGGCTCTGTTCACCTTGACCAATCTCTCCAGGTAATTCAGCTGCAAAACACTGGCCAGTCCACACCACCCAGGGATGCGGCTCGGTCTCCTTTTTGTGCAGATTAGCATTGGGTCCTGCTCAAGGTCATCCCCATGCTTGGGCCAAGGAAGGACCCTGCCCCTTTGAGGGCCTTGGGCACATTGCATCACACTCCTGGGGTGACCAGGAGCCCAGGTCAGATATGACCCAGCAAGATGTGGGCAGAGACTGGCATTTCTCTCTGCTTTTCTTTGGGGTATGGCCCAGGGCTCTCTGAAGCCACCTTGTCAGGCCCCTGCAGATCACATGAGGCCCACCCAGATAATCAGGGATATGGCCTCTTCTGGAACTCAGCAGGCACAACCTCAGCTTGCCCTTCCCACGTGATGTAACCCATTAGCCAGTTCAGAGGTGAGGATGTGGACAGCCCCTGCCAGTGAGCCCTAGGGCCCCGCTCAGAGGTGACTGCCGAGCTCAATCAGGCCTAATGTGCTCCAGACCGGCCCAACTCTTTCCTTCTGCTCCCTGGGGAGTGTGGGGCCTTTGGCTGTAGGGCTCTCTGAGCCCAGCCCCGGGAGCTGTGGCCTCAAGGTTATCTCCTCACTGCAGGCAGCCACCAGGAGTACCCCCAGGGCCCCAAGGTGAGGGGCCCAGGCCTAGGAGGCTGTGAAAGCTGAGCAGAGGCGCCACAAGGCCCACACCCTCAGAGGCATGAGACTCCTTCAGCTGCTCTGCTTGGCCACACTGGGTGAGCCCGTGGGGGAACTGTGGGGTGTCTACTGCCAAGGCCCCCAGGAGGTGGGTTTAGGGTGTGGAATGCAGGGAGCGCAGGAGAGGTAGGCCCCGGGCAGCGGGCTCCTCTGAAAGCCAGGATCTGGGCTTCAATCCTCTTACTGCCCGTGTGGCTGTCCCTCCTTTGTCGCTCTGGCCCACTGTTCACTCTGCAAAATGGGCTGAAGATCCCAAATGCCCTGGGGCTCCAAAGGGCTTCGTGAGCAACCGTGCTGATTGAGACCTGCGGCCTCACTACCAGGAGTCAGCCCATGCCTGCCCCCTTCCCTTCTCGCAGGAGGCTCTGGGCTGTCCGCAGCCTCCCCCTGACACCCCACCTCTCTTACAGCCGCCAGTTCTTCCAAAGGCCCGGCAGAAGGTGAGTGGCCCCACTTCCTGCAGGGACAAGGGCATCCAGCTGGGGACAGGAGGAGGTGGCAGGGGTGAGAATGGGGTGCTAGGGGGCAGCTGGACAATTCTAGATCCTGGCAGGATCCTGGGGGCATGGAAAAGGAAGACCAGGCTGAGGGGGCATCCCAGGGAGCCAGGGCAGGGATGACTGCTGAGGCTGGCTGGTTGGAGTGTGGGGGTGTCTTGGTCACTCTACCCCATGTCCTCATCTGGAGCACTAGCTCCTCCAGGTGCCTCACAGATCTGCCAAGTGTTGTAACCCAGAGAGAGCTGGGGAGTTTGGGTGACACCTTGGCCAGGAGGGAGGGGCCTGTAGAGCAGTCAAGATCCCCCAGGGTCCAGCATGGGAGGCAGCCTGAGGCATTGGGCCTCCCTGTTCCCTCCCTCCCCCCTCCCTCCCTCTCTCTCTCTCTCCCTCTCCACAAATCACACAGGTTGGTTCAGAGCCAGGGAGGAGGGGATACTAGGGAAGCCCCCTGACCCCGTGGCCTGGCCTACTCCCTCCTTCGAGCCAGCTCCATCTCTCTGGCTGCTCCCCACCCCCACTGTTATCCCTCACTGGCACCTCAAGCCCTTGTGTCTGCTGGGGTGAGTAGGCATTGGGTCACTTCCCCTCCTTGTTGTTCTTTTTGTTTTGTTTTTGGTACCAGGATTCAAACTCAGGACCTTCCATTTGCTAGGCAGACATTTGTGCCGCTGAGCTACATCCCCAGCCCCCACCTCCCTGTCTTGGTCCCTACCTTGCGTCACTGGGTCACCAGCACACAAAGCTCAGCATCCCCAGTTCTGCTTAAGGGTAGGTACCAGGTAGTGGTGACGCACGACTCACTTGAATGAAGCAGAAGCTAAACTACCATTTCCTCATTTGCTGTAAAAATAAGCACATTGTTAGTATTGCAGCTAAAAACAAGAAGCCAGCGGCCGAGACACAGGAAAGTACCTGGGGAGGGACGGCCCTGCCTCCCTTCCAGCTCAGACCCTGACTTCTCAGATTTTTACTGACCAAGTCCTGGTAACTAAACTCCTAAGAGACCGACTGACAAATGATGCGTTCATTTGTTCCAAATGTCCTTGAGCACCTGTTTGGTGGCAGCCACTCTTCCAGCCCTGGGGAGAAGGAGACAAAACCCTCGTTCTAGCGGGCCCAGTGGGCAGAGGAGTAGAAAAGTAAGCACCTTCTGCAGCAGGTCAGAGTTCACTTCGGATGAGAAGCAAGCCACGGGCGCTTCTGCAGGCTGCGGGTACTGTGCAGACGGGATGGGACAGGAGTACAGCCCTTGAAGAGACGGCAGCTGTTTGCCACACCTGCTGGAGCGCTGGCTAAATAAAGCCCAGCCTGCCAGGGTGCGTCCTGCAGCTGAGACTCTGCAGATGGGGATGTGAGGCTGAGGTTGGTCTGAAACAGGAATGAGCAGAGACCCAGGATACAGAAGTGACCAATGCGTGGTGTTTTGTTTTGTTTTTTTCAGTACTGGAAATAGAATTTAGGGCCTTTGCACTGAGCTACATCTCCAGGATTTTTAAATTTTGAGACAGGATCTCACTAAGCCTCTTAATTCCCCAGGCTGGTCGTGAGTTTACAACCCTCCAGCCTGTCTCCCGAAGTGCTGTGATCACAGCCCAGTGTTTCTCAGAGTGAGGGTCCCAGATGACCTAGGATCACTTGGGAGGGGCGTTTGGGAGTGTCCTGTCCCCCCCACACACACTGGGCTGTAGTGACCTCAGGACTTCACTCTGCCCCGGTCCTGGAGGCCAGAAGTCCAAAATCAAGGTGTCTGCTGGGGCTTTTTCCTTGCGGAGGTGAGGAGAAGCTCTTCCTGGCTCTCTCCCTCTGTCACATGGCAAGTCCTGGCCAGAGCGCTGCATCTCTATGCTGTTATGAGCCCCCCACTCACCCAGCACCGATGATCAGAGTTCAGTGAACCACCTGCTTGGTAACGACCCTTTCTCCTAACCAGGCCCATTTGGAAGTGTCGTGGTAACACCTTGGCCAGAATCTTTCTGGAGGGCACATTCATTTCTGAAGAGGTGCACTGCTCGCTCAAAATCAGACCCTGCTGCCCTACACTGGTCCAAGGAAGCACAGTCTCTAGAACTCGAATTTCCAGCCTCTGGTTATCCCAGAGACAGGAGACTGGGCCTCGGAACCACCTGGACACACACCACAGCCCGGGGCCTGGGTGGAGGTCCTCAAGAGCTTCCTGCTTCCTTTTGCTTTTTTTTCTTTCCCCTGCAGTGTAGGGGACCAAAACCAAGGCCTTGAGTGAGCACTGTGCCACTGAGGTATATCGCTGGCTTTTTTTTTTTTTTTTTTTTTTTAATGCAGGGTCTCACTAAATTGTCCAGGCTGACCTTGAGCTTGCAGTCCTTCTGTTTCAGTGTCTCTAGTAGCTGGGATTACAGGCGGGTATCACTGCTCTCAGATTATTATTACTATTATTACTATTATTATCTTGTTTGGTTTTTTTTGTTTTTTTTTTTGAGACAAGGTCTCTGGCTATGTAGTTCAGGCTGACCTTGAACTCTGTGTAGCTCCAGCTGTCCTTAAACTCAAAATAACCCTCCTGCCTCAGCCTCTTGAGTGCTGGAATAACAGGTGTGCACCGCCACACCACTGCTCTCAGTTTAGATCCATAAGCTAAAGAATCAAAAAGAAAAAAGATACAAGTCTCTTTAGGATAAAAAGTGAATGCTCTGGCTATCATGCTTGAGTTTGCGTGATAGCCCACACCACATTTTGATTTTACCTTCTTTTTCCTCTTTGTTCTGCCCAAGTTTGCTCTACAGAGTTAGTTTACCCATACCCCTTTACCCTGCACTTTTCAAACCAACTTTTTGGCACCATTAAAAAGAAAAAGTGAATGCTCTTCTGCTCTTGCAAACTGTACCTTGTAAAAGGCTCCTCTCTGTACACTTAGGCAAATCAGGTTTCTATTCACAGCCATTGAAATGGAAAGGAAGTTTTCTCTTTCTCTTTTATAAGTTAAGAACATTTCCCTTCGTGAAAGAAGCAAAAAAACAAGTGGAGCCATACTGTGGCCCAGGACCTCACAGCCCCAACAGGAGGCAGACTGGCCCCTGAAACCATCTTTGGACCTCAGGAGGAGGCCTCTTCTCCCCAAGGGGCTCACTGACAAAATCATTAGTAGAAGTCCACAAAACAATGCCCCAGAGAATGACTTCAACACTGCTATAGCTGTATTTTCTTCAAATCAAGATTTTGCATGAGGCCAGGTGTGGTGGCGCTTGCCTAGAATCCCAGCACTCAGGGGGCTGAGGCAGGAGGATCTTTGCAAGTTCAAGACCAGCCTGGGCTACAAAGTGAGCTCAAGACCAGCCTGAACTGCATAGCGAGACCCTGTCTCAAAAAGATAAAAAAAAAAAAAAATTTGCATGTGACTGTTTAAAACAAAGTATCCCCTCCAAAATGGGGGTTTTCATGAAACTATTAAAGAAGTAAAGCCAGGTGTGGTGGTGTAATACTGTAATCCTAGCAAATGGGAGGCTGAGGCAGGAGGATCACCATGAGTTCGAGACAAGCCTGGACTACAAAGTGAGACCCTGTTTCTAATAAATAGATAGATAGATAGATAGATAGATAGATAGATAGATAGATAGATAGATACAGATGAGGACGTGTTTGTTGACTTGGTGCCTGAGTGGCCCTGGGCCAGGAGGAGTCCTGCCCAGGGTGCCTGCTGTTTGATGTCCAGGGCCCTCTCAGTCCCATACTGTGATCTTTGGGGCTCATTCTCCTTTGAGAAGCTTTTGAGGGGCTGTCCTGCGCATTGCAGTGTGGATTTTTTGTTTGTTTGGTTGGTTTGCGTTTTTTGTTTGTTTGTTTACTTGCTTGTTTTGATTTGGTTTGGTGTTTTGAAACAGGATCTTCCTATGTAGCCCAGGCTGGCCCCAAACTCACAGCAATCCTCCTGCCTCAACCTCCCAAGTGCTGGGATTACAGGTGTGTGCCACTATGCCAGGCTGTATTTTATTTTAAGACACGGTCTCACCTAGTCCCTAAATTCCCCAGCCTGGGCTCAAACTTGTAATCTTGCTTCAGCCTCCCAGAGTGCTCGGATTGTACGGGTTTACCATCATGCCCAGGCACACTATTCTTAAGAAGAGCATAGATGCCCACTGGTAACAAACACACCCTTCTGTCCTCACCTGTCATTCAGAAAGTGACTTTGCTTAGTCCTGACTTCTGTCCTGGGGGGTCAGGAAGGGCAGCGTGAGGCCCAGTAGGAAGATCATAGGCTCTCTCTGCATCAAGGTCAACACCAGGGTCTGCCTACAAAACAGCAAAGTCGCTTGTAAAAGGATCCCTGGCTGGGAGAGGGCTCCCAGTCAGGCAGGAGAGAGCTTGGGGCACGCTGAGCATGCCAGCCTCCTGTAGCTATCTCACTACTCTTCAAAAGCCCTGCTTCCCTGGAGCTGCCCCTCTCTGCCCGTTCAGCCCCACGCGGCTGGGCTGTGACTCTGTCCTGAGAAGCTTCTCATGGGTCGGGGTCACACCCTCTGCCCCAGCCCCCTCCCTGTCCTCTGAAACCAGGTGTTCACTGCTCAGGTGCAGGGGCCTCGCTGTCGCCCCTGCGTCCCGGGTCCTGTGGTGGAGCTGGCATGACCGGGCCTTTGAGCTTGGAGGGAGGCCACAGCCCAGACTCAGAATGGACAGCTCTGTCCACGCTGCATGTGACCCATCCTGCAGGCTGCAGGTGGCAGCTCAGGTATCTGCAAGCATCCGGGTGAGCACCTGTGTCCCCTAAGGAGGTCTCAGAGCCAGAGAGGGCACCAGGCAGCCACTGCCATTGGATTTAAGAGAGTCATTCAGCTAACAAGTAGTACGTTTCTCAGGGCAGAGACCAGGGACGTGACAGGGGCCGCGGCGTGTGCCTGTCCCTTGCGGCTTACAGTGGGCAAGGCTGGTCATCCAGAGACAGATCCAGGGGTTTGGTCCTCTTCACCTGTGTCCCCACCTGCCTTGCAATGCTTTCCTGCCTGCCTGAGCACATACATTCTCTCGCTCCCCTTCCTCTCCTCCTTCTCCTTCTCCTTCCCGTCCTCCTCCTTCTTCCTCTTCTTTGTGCTGGCAATCGAACCTAGGGCTTTCCTACTGAGCTACATCCTCACCCTTTTAATTTTGAGTCAGGGTCTTGCTAAGTACTAAGTTGCCCAGGTTGGATCAAGCTTGCGATCCTCCTGCCTCAGCCTTACAGAGTTATACCATTATGCCCAACTCTCATGGTATCTTGTACTGGAATATTCTGGGCAAAAAATTCTTGAAGCAGGAAACAGGCTTTTCTCCATTTATTGGTCAGGTGAAATTCACACAACAAAAAATTATTTTTTTTTTTTTTGACAGAATTTCACTATGCAGTTCAAGTCAGCCTTAAAGTCACTTTATAGCCTAGGCTGGCCTTGAACTCATAGCAATCCTCCTGTCTCAGCCTCCTGAGTGTGGGAATTACAAAAATAAACCATTTTAAAGTGGTAACAGTGACTTTCAGTACATTCAGCTTGTTGGGCCAGCACCACGTCTACCTAGTTTCAAAACATTTTCATCCCCCTAAAAGGAAGCCCCATACCCACTGAACAATGGCTCCCCACTCTCTCCTCTGTGCCCCAAGCCACCAGTCTGCTTCCTGCCTCTGAATTTTCCTATTGTGGACCTGATACATAAATGGACTCATATAATCGTTTTTCTCTTAGTGGTCAGGCTTAGCATAAAGTTACGGATCATCTGTGTTGTAGCATGTGTAGGGATTTTTTATTTATTGTGGCGTGGTGGACTATACGTAGGACCTTTCACATCCCAAGTATGTGCTTTATCACTGTGTTATATCCCCAACCCATGTTACTCTTTTTTTTTTTGTCTTTTTGAAACAGGGTCTCGCTATGCAGTTCAGACTGGCCTTGAGCTCACTTTGTAGCCCAGGCTGGTCTCAAACTCTCAATGATCCTCCTGCCTCAGCCTCCTGAGTTCTGGGACGACAGGTGTGCACCACCACGCCCAGCCCATGTTACTCTTTAAAAGTAAATAATATTCTTTGCATGGCTCTACCACATGGGTGTTTGGTTTGGTTTCAGTACTGGGTATTAAACCTAGGGTCTTTGCACTGAGCTATATCCCCAGACGTTTTGTTGTTTACTTTGAGCCAGGGTCTCACTATATCACCAGGCTAGGTTCCGATTTCAGTCCTGATGCCTCATCCTCCTGGAGTGCTGGGTGTACAGGTGTGGGCCACCACACCTGGCTTCCACATGCTGTTTATCCATTCAGCTGTTGATGCGGACTCAGGCTGTCTCTACCTCTCGTTCCGGTACCTCGCACCTGGAGACATGTGCTCACTTGTATCTGTGAGAGCCAGCTCCAGCTTTCCTGCTGCGTGTCTAGCAGTGGAATTGCTGAGTCTTGTGGGAATTCTTCGTTTCACTTTGAGGAACTGCTAAACCACGCATTTTCTTAAGGTGCTTGATTAATCGTGGTTTCTTTCTTCCTGTCCCATCTGTTTCACCCCCTAGAAATCTCCATTGCCTACAAAGTCCTGGAGGTTTACCCCCAAAGTCGCCGAGTTCTTCTAACGTGCCAAGCACCCCCGGCACCTCCGCCCATCACCTACTCCCTCTTCGCCAGCCAGGGCATCCAGGTGGCCAGGAAGGTGGTGTGGACTCACCAGCCCGCCTCCTTCAGCATCAACGTCACGCTCAAGTCCAGCCCAGACTTGCTCACATACTCCTGCCAGGCGTCCTCCCTCTCCGGCCCGCGCTGGAGCAGCACCCGGCTGCAGATGTACTGGGAGCTGTGGGCCAGTGAGTGTTGCACCAGGAGCCCGGGGCGCAACTGTGGGTACTAAGAGGGGTCAGCAAGGGCCAGGGTAGAGGTGAGGTTGAAGGCCAAGCTGCTCGCCCGCAGGCTGCAGTCAGTACTGTGGGGCCAGGCACCACAGGGGCCAGACCCCCACGACACAATCTCCTAATCTCCTGGCGGAGCTGGAGGCCAGAGAGAGGCCGGAAGGTGGAGGGCAGAGGCAGGGGGGCTGCACTTGGAGCTGATAGGCCGGGTGCCCTTCTCCAGTTATTTCAGTAGAGTCGAGGCTGTGGATGCTGAAGCTCTAGCGGCCCAGGAAGTTGCCCCACACTAACGCTGGCTTCAAATCCCACTCTGTCCCTACAAATCCACCTTCCCCACTTCTGTTCCAATCTGCACACGTGTCCTAGGTGGGAACAGAAGCGCTGCCTGGCCTATGTTGGGACCAGGACTCCTGTCCATTCTTTGCCCACATCCTGATTACACCAACAAGGAGAGGCACCCTGAGGGGGAGGTGCCCAGGCCTGGGGCCCAGAGGAGGAGGGTTCAGAGCCCCCCATGGGCTGGTGTGGGGTACAGGGTGAGTCACTCAACCTCAAGGCCTGGGCTGCTTGCTTCTGCAAAGATTATCATAGGGCCCTAAAGTCAGCCATGGTGGCTGTGCATGTAACCCCAACACTTGGGAGGCTGAGGCAGGAGGATCATGAGTTAGAGGCCAGCCTGGGCTATAAAGTCAAGACCCTGTCTCAATAAGCAAGGAAAGAGGGGCTAGGGATTTAGCTCAGCGGCAAAGCGCCTGCCTGGCAAGCGCAAGTTCGTGAGTTCGGTTCCTGGTACCAGAGAAAAACCAAAAACAAACAAACAAACAAATAAGCAAGGAAAGAAAGAAAGAAAGTAAGCAAGGTCATTCCTGAGGGTGTAGAAGGGATTAAATGAGGAACACTTAGTATTTAATAGATGGCAGGGTTGGGCACTGTCCTTGCCAGGCAAGAGCTCTACCACTGAGCTACAGCTCCTCTCCTAGTCTGTTGATTTTTGTTGTTGTTGTTGTTTTTCCAGTACTGGGAATCGAACTCACGACATCGCGCTTGCCAGGCAGGAGCTGTGCCGCTGAGCTAAATCCCCAGCCCCTAGTTTGTTGATCTTAATGGACTTTAATTTTCATTCTAGAATCAGACAACACTTCATTCCATAAAACAGGATGAGTATCTGGTGAGCTGAGCAGAAGCTGGCCTTTTCCCTTCCCCTTTATCGTGCAGAGGATGGAACCGGGGCCTTGTGTGTGTTAAGTACGTGCTCTGCCCTTGAGCTGCACCTCCGGCCCTCAGAGCTTGGTTTTCTAGACAGAGAAAGGCTGCAGAAAGCAAGGGGAAAGGACAAAGGTGAACTGGTCATTTCAAAGTTATTTTTCTTGGAGAAATTATGGAAGAGCTAAAGGGCCAAATGTCATGTATTTTTGTTGGGGGGCAGTACCTGGAATCAAACTCAGGACCTTGCACTTGCCAGGGAGGCGCTTGTGTCATTGAGCTATGTCCCTGGCCCTTCTTGGAAAAATTAGGGACAGAATTTGAAACTGGCTGATGGAGGCTGGAGGTCTGGGGGTCTGAGTGGTAGAGTGTTTGTCTAGCATTGCCCTAAGGTTGGGAATTTGTATCCCCAGCACTGAAGAGAAAAAAAAAAAAAAAAGAAAAGAAGAGAAGACCTGATGGATTCATACTCTATTGCTTTAGGTCACCTTTTTTGGCTAAGGATTAGTGTAGAAAGAGTATCACTAACATGTCAGTTGGAATCAGCCTGTTTGGAAAACTTGGCTGTTTTCTCTTGAATCCTGATTTCTCAAGTTAGACAAACAGCTTTGTTTCGGCGTGGTGACCTGGAACTTCAATATGCGTGACTCCATTTTTATTTTTTAGCCTGGAAGTTCAGAAGCTTAGCCTGAAATGATATCCTCCTATAATTTTAAAATTACAGGTGCCAGGTAAATTTTACATAAATTTTACATTTTGCAATTCAAAAAATTATTCATTGTTAGAGCCAAGTGTGGTGATGCATGCTTGTAATCCCAGCACTCAGGAGGCTGAGGCAGGAGGCTCACTGCGAGTTCGAGGCCAGTGTGGGCTACATAGTGACTTCAAGGCCAGCCAGAACTACATAGTGAAGCCCTGTCCCAAAAAACAAAAACAAATATATTAATTGTTTATCTGAAATTCAAGTTTAACTGGGTGCCTTGTATTTTTATTTGTTAAGTCTGACAACTGGAATATACCACACAAAAGCAAAACCAAAAATGAAATTTTACAGTGCCCACTGGAAGTAGGCTAGAGGGCCTGGCACACAGTAGGGACACTCTGGCCAGCCGCCGGGAGGTGACAGAACCACACTTCCAGGTTCATTAAGCATCTTGTACTGGGAATTTCCCAGGGAGGAGGTTAAAATCTCTCAGCCATGCCTGTGCTACTGTCTCTCACCCTGCCAGAGCCAGTGTCCCAGCTGCAGGCTAATGTCACCGTGCACAGTGGAGGATCAGGTCCCAGGGCAGAGATGTCCTGCTGGGCACCCTCGGGCAGCCCACCCATCACCTACCGCCTGGTCAGCAAGGATGGGCAGGTCCACAAGCAGAAGAGGCCACCCCATGGGCAGCCCGCCAACTTCTCCTTCCCGCTGCCCCCCATGCCGGGCTGGTTCCAGTGCCAGGCTGAAAACAGCGTCGGTGTCCAGAGCAGCGCCCTCACACTGGTGCCCCCAGGTGAGAGGGCCAGTCGGTGTCCTGAGGGGCAGCTGGCACTGCTGGGCTGGGAGGGGGCCGTGCCAAGTGTCCAGGAGGCCACTGCCCAGGGCAGGGAAGGGCCCCAGCAAGCAGCCTAGCCTCCCCGGCCCCTGCAAAGGAAGCCCAGCCTGGCCACCTCTGCTGCCCACACAGGGGAGCTGCCCCAGGGACCCGCACGCGTGCTGGCCAGCAGCCTCGTCTCCATCGCAGTTATGGCCTCCGGGATGCTGGGCCGGACCAGGTAAGCAGTGGGTGCCTGGTGTCAAGCAGGGCGACTGGCGTGTGGGGCAGGGCTGCCACCTGGGCTGGAAAGGCACCACAGCCACAACTCAAGGACGTTTCCCAAGCCAGGCATAGTGGCGCATGCCCGTGACGCCAGCACTCAGGAGCTGAGGCCAGAGGATTGCTGAGAGCTGGGTACATAGTTCAAGGCCTGCCTGAACTATGTGAGACCTGAGAACTACACAGTGAGACCCTGTCTCAAAGAAAAAACACATTTACTAAGAGCCTCTCAGGCTGAGGGCCACCCCGGCATGCGCATTCCTTGCACACCTGAACCTGAACAGTGCTTGCAGCCGCCTGCCATGGTGTCGGGAGACCTGGGGCGGGCGCTTTCCTCCCTTCTATTGAGGCCTGGTGAGGCCGCCTGGCGATCACGGTGGGCCTGGACCTTCTGTCCTCCCGCAGTCGCACTGTCAGCCTTTCCCAGGTGGTGGCAAGAGGCAGGATCCCCTCTCCAAGGCCACCACCTCCTTGACACGTACAGTGACAGTGTCGTTGTGCTGTGTGACCTCAGGAAGGGCTGGCCTTAGGTAGTGGCCGCTCCCGCCCCCTCCGGCTTCTGCTCTTGGCACCTGTCTCTCCTGGGGCTCTCCGCCTCCAGCTCCATCCTTTGCAGAGGCCAGACTCAAAGGCGACCTTGTCACCTATCTAGGCCTCGTGTTTCCTTCTGTAAAATGGGGCACGGAGACCTGTTTCCCTCTGAGCATGTGGCAGAGGCCAGCGCTTGCCCCCTTCCTTAGGTGGGGTGCCACCTCTGCCTCCTTGGGCTGTGCATGCTCCCTGCCCCATCCCCTGCAAAGGCTGCGGGAGAGGGTGGCTGAGGGGACCCCAGCACCTACTCCTTTGCCGTCCATTGTGGTCCAGGTTGTGAGCGGAATCTGCCCTAGCCCTGGCCTTGCCCTTGCGCCCTACGGAAGGAACCTCCTCTGGGATGAAGAGGAGCCTCAGGCGGGAGACAAGGGGAGACACGGTCTGAGAACACAGCAGCCGGCGTGTGGGACTCGGGAGGCTGTGAAGACGTGGGTGGTAGCCTTGTCCTGTGTGTAGGACTCACGCTAACCTAGGAGATTTTATTTTTTTATATGTATTTTTTTGGCACTCAGAATCGAACCCAGGACCTTGCGCTTGCCAGGTAAGCGCTGTTCCGCGGAGCTACATCCCTGGCCCAGGAGTAGCTTTTAGCTGCAGTTGCCACAAAAACAAAAAATTAGGTAACTGAGATAAGGGACAAGTTCGTCTGCTGCACTGCAGGAACCTTTTTTTGTGTGTATCTAATAACAGCAAGTTGTATACCTTAAACACACACAATAACATTTATTTTTAGCTGGGTGTGGTGGTGTTTCTCTGTAATCCCAGCACTAGGGAGGCTGAGGCAGGAGGATGATCACAAATTCAAGGCTAGTCTGGGCCATCTAGTAAGGCCCTGTCCCCAAAACACACAAAAAAACAAGAAAGAAGGAGAAAGAGAAGGGGGAGGAAAAAAGAAAAAAAAAAAAAGGGCAGGGCAAGCAGAGGGATGGAAGAATAAAATATTGGGGATTTGGGGCTGGGGATTTAGCTCAGCAGCACAGCGCCTGCCTGGCAAGTGCAAGGTCATGAGTTTGGTTCCCCGTACTGGGAAAAAAAAAAACAAAAAACAACAACAAAAACAAAAATAAAATAAAATAATAAAAAAAAATTGAAAAATTAATCTATTTTTATTTTTTGTTTCTTTCAGATAGGGTATCACGTCCTATGTATCAGCCTGGTCTTGAACTCATGGCAATCCTCCTGCTTGAGCCCTTTGAGCTCTGGGATTCCAGATGGGATTCCAGATATGTGCCACCACACTCCACAAAATACTGCATTTAATGACAAAAAAAGAAGGGTGAGGCAGGAGGATCAAAGTTTTCACTTTTTGGAGCCCAGCCTGGGCAACTTACTGAGATCCTGTCTGAAAAATAAAAAATAGAAAAGAGGTGTAGATGAAGTCCAGTGCAAAGGCCCCTGGTTCAGCGCTCAGCATGGATCCCCAAAATCTCTAGCACAGAAAACAAAAACAAAACCTAATCAACCAAACAACAGGAAAGAAGGGCGGGGTGGCAGGGTGATGGTGCGGGCCTGTAATCCTGGCTTTCAGGACACCTAGGCTGCAGTATCTTGAGTTCGAAGCCAGCCTGGACTACATAGTGAGATGGTATCTCAAATGCACTGCACAGCCGCCCGTGCCCCGCCAAAAAAGAGAAAAGAAAAAGGCTTGTGGGTTCCTGCGGAATCCTGCTCACGCTCAAGTCAGCAGCTCCTCTCTTGGGGGCAGGGTGTGGCCCTGAGGGACACCCTTCCCCGGCCACCCTCACCTGGCAGGATCAGCCTTCCCGGGCCCTGAGGCTCTGGGCCTTTGTAGGGTTCGGGGAGAGGAAGCTGAACTGGGTGGAACTCTGTGCCCTGGGGGCCTGTTTCACTGCCTTAGTACTTGCGAGACTGCAGCCACTCACCCTTCGAGGCCTGGGACGCCCCCCCACTCCGCCCAAGAATGGGAAAGTGGTGGTGGTGGGCCCTCGACCCCACTACAGGCTTAGCTCAAATGGGAAGGAAGAG